GTGCTGTTCCTATTCCCTATAATGGGACAGCTGCTCCATAAATCGCAAGGAGAACAATGAAGAACGAAGCATGGCTCTACCAGGATGTCATTTCTGGAGATTCGAATATGCGCTCGCAGCCTGATGAAGTCATATATTGGGACAACATTATTTTTGAGAGCGAAGTGTCAAGTAAGTTGTTTCCACATAGATGTAGCTGGGCTATGCAGAAAAACACAGTGGCCGAAACATCACATCCAAAAGTGGGAGGGAAAAAGACAATCGGTATTAGGAGAAAAGTTACAGATAATCGATATGAGGATTGTAGGAATATGCTGGAAATACCAAACTTAACCCACCTGTTCATAAAATGGACATGTCCGACATTGCTGAGGTCAGATTCTATTCAGGGAGTCACCTTATTAATAGTTGGATAAATATTTTTAAAGCTTGTACATTGTATCAACATCCTAAAGAGGCTAACATTATTTTGTTTTCTCGAGAAATAAACGACTCATGGTCTTATTGCACAATAAAACACTGCAGGAAGAATAAACAACTGTGGCTGTGCCCCTCATGGTTTATTCTCCCTGCAGTGTTTAATTGTACAATAAACCACGCCCACTTGTCATTTATTTCTTAAATGAACTTAAAGTTACAAGACAACATATATTAAAATCAACATAATACAATCACAATATGTACCAATTAAAGCAGCATGCAACACATTTTCCCACGTAAAAAAACAACACAATCATGTCACAGTTATGGTACATGTAGTTTGTTGTATCAACACTTCAGCTTGATCATGGAAAACCTGCAATATGTTATTTGGTCTGGGTAGGGGAAACTAGTGGCTGACAGTGTGATGATCAAAACCTCGGTCCAGGTAACAGATGAACAGATTTCAGTGTGGCTGCATCTGAGAGTTATTATTTTGATATGGTGAACCATCCAACTTGTGCTATCCATGAAGACCCATGCATTGCAATATTGGCCAACCAATGCCCATTCTACTTGCCCTACACAGCATGTAATACAATTCCCAAATCAGTATATTTTATTCTTCCAGAATCCTATAGGTGTATATGGCAATAGGGAAAATGACTCAGATTCCAAAGTAACTAATGATAACCGTGTACCCACAGCGAATGTTTGCAAACTATGTAAACCTCTTACATGTCCCTAGGCCCAAGGAATTCCTTTAATGAGTCTGGCACTTAAATCACTTGTCAGAATCCTAAGAGTAATTTTACCGATCTACTAAACACAGTTAACAATAATCTGACAAACTAACAAACTACAAAGAATGATGGGTTCTGGTTGGTACACTCAGTGTCTTTGTGACCAGAGTGACTTAATGTTGCTGATTTCTTTCAGTGAGCGTGCCAGGAACTAAGAGTTATACATCTGTGGGTCACTACAAGTACAAAGCTTAGACAATCCAGTACACACAGATATTCTGCTGGTCCTATGCTACAGTACATGCTATGAACAATAGTCTCACTGGAGGCCATGTCCCAGCTGTTTACATCTTGTCAGGTCAATGAACAGGTCACACTTTCTAAACCTTCAATGTGTGAACATATGCTATCAACAGCTCAGGTTGGAAACAAAGGCATCCTAACCAACATCTGAACTCCCTGTTCAGAGTAAATTTCTAAATGTACCAATTGAATTACTGATGTGTACTGTTACTGTTGTTTTCATCTGAAGAATTATTTTAAAGGGTTTTAAATTAGAAAATTCAGTTTTTATTTTTTTTAAATACCGGGTAATTGTTTGGAAAAATGTGCATTATACACAAAACAATAAAGCAATGTTACCATGATGACGGGCATGTGATATTAGTCCCGTAAAGAGATCTTCAGTTTATGTTACTGTGGTCGGGTCGACATGAGCTGTCGGTATCAATATTGTCATCAATAATATAACACTGACAATAATCTCAAAGGTTTGCCATTATTTCCTTGAATGCCACTATCTCAGTTTCATTTAATGCATTGACTTAGGGATGGATGCAAACTTGTACATTAATTAACTACAACGACTGCACGTTTGTCATAACCAAGATATCCAGTAAAACAAAAAAGTATTATGCAACTCACCATGTTCACAATATGTTACTATAAAACTCATATCTACAAAACGTTTATGATCACCATTTCCAAAACAATCAGGCTTGATGCATTTACCATAAACACAATGCATCATATATGACCATAAGAATGGGTGGGTGTATATAATTTATGTCAGCAATATTCCAGCCATATCATAACAGCCTGTAAATGACGGAGATTTAAACCTGTTTCATTCATTATTGCAAAAATTATCATTCAATTTTGTATAACAAGTAATGAGACATCCGTTTCACCTCATTCTCAGACAACATATTCGCATGACTATATTCCTACACATTTCAAGATTTGAAACTAATCATAAATCCTTGTTTAAGTATTGATTTTAAAGAAGAGTACTAACAAACAATGATTAAGTGTATCTATGCTTTGTATAATGCAGGCGATTGATTGTATGAACAAGCCAAACAGAGGCAGTCTGACGATGAAACCAGTCATGCTACTTGCAGAATATTGCATTTGGTTAAAAGAATGAGGATGAATTATTAGTAATGACTTGTTACATTCCAGGTGCATAACGAAAAAAAGAAACATATACATTGCATGTGCAGAACTGTACTGTATCAGTGTGTATAAGTGTCTGTGTCTCATTTATCTGAGCAACATTAATTATTGTCAGACCATGTCTGTCTCAAGTAGTTGGTGGATGGCATTAAAACGCTGCCATCACCACTTTTTTTTGGCAATGCAATATCCATTATCAGAATAAGTGCATGCGAACAAGTAGGTGATTACAGAAAAACTTATCAACACTGTTAGGTGTATGACATCCTGACTTCCTGCTACAGCGTACTACTTTAGCAAGTAGTCCAAAGCTTACTTTCAGTCTGATCAGCATATTCTTATTTAGCAGTCCAGATATTAACTAATATCTATTCAAAATGATGTCAAAAGACAAGTTAGTAGACTCGTAGGTCATGGCGCGGCACAGACTGCTTTTGGCAGTGCTTCAATCTTTGGTGTCCTTCCCTCGTTCAGTTTGGTGATAAGTAAATACAAATTTAGGAAAGCCTAAAATTTAATATCAAACAAAATCAGACAACCTACTTAACCTCTATTATAGCGCTAGGTAGTTCAGAGTTGGTCTCATAAAATTCATTATCAATAAAAAATGTACAGTCAGCCTTTTTTAACAGTTTTCATTTTTTATGAAAGCACATCGATTAGTTTTATCCTGGAACTACTACATGCATGTTTCATTGACAAGACTATCAACTCATATAAGTATAACAACTGTAAACTAAATTTAACTGATATCGTGGACTAGTGATACTGATCATCACAGAAATTGATGCATGATCCTGATGACTGGCAATATTTAAACATTGTTATGAAAATATATATCACTGCACATGCTACAATGTTAATACAAATAATACACAGATTTCTTATATTTCCTTGGTATGATAACATCATTAATGCCTAATAATGGATTTGAGAACTAAAGGTTGATACAACCTAAAAGAAATAAAATACATTGAAGCATTCCTGAGTATTAGATATCCATACTAATATAGCTCAGTGTCTAAACAGTGTCTAATCTAGCAACTATACTGCCACTGGTGAAACAAGTAATTCAAATGTATAACATATTTAATTAATATATAATATATGTAGTAATATTTTTATAAATGTAAATGTGGTTATGAAAAGGAAACAGAGTGATGTTATGCATGTGGTAAATGATGCATGCATGATCATGCAGTCAACTTTCAAGGGACAAAAGTCCTTGATCCTGACATATACAGTAGGCCATGTACCTGCACTAGCTCTGAATCAGTTGAAATATGAACATACATTCTGCAGTGTTGACAATGTTGTGATACATTTCACTGTGAAGGTTATCAATGTTTGAACGTACATGTATTACAAGTAGCCTATTATATTTGAATACATAAACTATAATTAACATAACCAGACTTGTGTTGCAAGTCTCAAGAAAATCCAACTGTTAATAACTAAACCCTACCATGTCTACAGAGTGAGGTAAATTATTAGTATTGTGCTGGGCCCACTTGCACAAAGCAATCTTAGTGCTACGATTATTGTAAGTCTATGTTAAAGTATGGGCATTACGATCATCTTAGCGCTAAGATCGCTTTGTGCAAGTGGGCCCTGGACAGAATGAATCTTTCTGTTTGTTATTTTGCAACAGGTTTGACAGAACCACAAATATGATACCGAAAATCTATTTCCCGGATGAATCATTTCTAATACCAAGAATACTGTATTTAAAGAATTGTGTGAAAATAAAAGCCAACCCAACAGTACAGAAAATACTTTCTATTATATTGTAGGAATGGATTTCTTCTTCTTCTTCACTTAAACTTCTTTTCCAAATGTAACTGTCCTGAAGAATTTTCAGTATTTTGTAAATGTCATAAAGATAATGTCCTATCAAAACCATTATGTCATTGAAATATCTGAATGCTCAAAGGTCATGTGTCCAGCAAAGCTTAAGTATTCTCTACTGTATTGTTCTTTGAGTACTTTCATGATAACATATGACAATGTAAAATATTGTCACAATGTACAGTATTTTGAACCCAACATTGCCGTGTATCACTGCATCAGTGTTCCCTAATATTCCATGATGGTTGTGTGTGAACAAAACATAGACAGCAACAACACACTTCATTAAACCTGCATGTGACAATAATCATGGCCTTTACAAAGTGAATTGTAAGTGTAAGTTCATCACTGTCAGTAACAAAACTGTTTCATATCAGAACATCAACAAGTCCCATGCTGTTAAGTGTGTCGACATGTTTTAGTGGCATGAACAATGTGAGCATACAGTATGACAGTTGTTAGAATGCTGATGTTATTGGCACAGAGTATTATGGCAGCACACAACACCAACGCTTGTCCAGGCAATCTTACCAATATTCCAGTCTAGCTGAGGCACATGTATGTCGTTCTCTGGAAAACCTCATAGCAAAAACGCATGCACGTATTAAAGTTACGTCCACATTTGTCTAGTCACAGACAGCTTGACAACATCAAGAGCAAGCTAGACCATCTAAATTGCATCATCAACATGTTAGCTGTGTTCATTTTATCTTGTCATAAAATTATAAGAATCATGCGTCACATTTCTCATGTTTTGAGTGAAAACTAATTAAAATATTTATAAAAATCAAATGATTGATAGTCTAAATATATGATAAACATAATCTTAGTTCAAAGTTTTAGAGACAAGAACATGTTATTCTACTAGATGAAATTCATATCTATAATATCATATAATCTGACAGGTGAAACTATAGGTTATGGATAGTTATGAGAGGACACCTGATATATCTACAGTGATACATGTCAAGTAGTACAATCAAATCAGTACACCTTTGTTAGTGCTACTTACCTATCTCTGAGCATACAATCATTTGTTAAAAGTACTTAACATTAATATCTTAGGTCAGTTGTTTCCTTTTATATTTACTATAGAAAAACTTAAATTATTCTATTAGAAAGTCTCTTCAGTTAAAAAATGGATGAAATTTACGCTCTAATAAATAAAACCCATTACTGTTTTTGTAACTGAAGTATATTAATATATCAATGACCATACAAGCCTCAGGCCTACTGAGTCACACCTTAGTAAATATATTCATAGGAATAGTTTAATGTTTACACAGCAGGCAGAGGGGTTTAATAACGCATCTATCTGTGGTTAACAGAATACTAAGCTGTAACATTACTTTCCTAATTACAAATACTTTTTTGGAGAAAAGACCTCAATGATAGAATGGACACATTACTAGCAACCTTGGACACATGGTTTAAGAGCTAGCAACAACACAGACTTGGTATCCTGATCCAAATCATCATTGCAGTAAACATGGTAAATAATATATATTGCATACCTGTTTCGAAAGAGTATTTCATTGCCTTTCATGTTATGTTCATGTTATGTTCATGTTTTGTATTGTTTCAACAACTGATATCATAAATAAAGCCTTTACTTTATGAATAAACCTTTAACTTTAGAGAAATACTCAAAAACATTTATACAATCTCCAGATGTTAGTCATATCACAGGATTGAAATGCCATTGTTTAAATTGATTATAATTCCGGTATCATCCCATACACCAGTTCTAGCTGTAAAGGCACAGATATTGGTTAGTGCTTTCATTCCTAGTTGATTGTTCCAGTCATTTAAACCAGATGTGCAATAGATGCCTAGATGCTAGCTACCACGTCTACATGACAACCTGTCACTCACTATAGTGCAATAGACATGTATATAGTTGTACATTACAAATGTGAAAATATCTTTAGCACATGCAGCAATATATCAACATATCGATCCATATGCAACATAGCCCCAAATAAAACAGCAGTTTAATCAAATAATAGAGACAAATAGACAGCCCTTGCCAAGAAATCAAACTAAAGCATGCCCTTAACAAAAGTGGAAATTAGTCAAAAGCTACATGAGAAATGAGAATATCTGATACCGAGAGTACAACATCTCATGCAAAGTACCTTCATCTAATTCTGCATCGAGCTCAGCTGTTTTGACAAAAGATGAAAAAACAAATTCACTTCATGCAACAAACTAAAACATGACAAACACAATCAATCCCACAAGGACAATTAAACATAGTCAGACATTCTTGTAATGTCAGCATTTTGAGAGGTAATGGCACAATAATCTTCTCTTTGGCTAGACATGCTGGAAAGAAACAGATTATTGTGCAAAGGATGTAACTGCATAATCATGATTATGGAAAAATATAAACAAAATAGTAAATTCAACAGATTTATAAACATATCAGAAAATCTTTGTTAAATCATGCCTTCACCATGTTCACAAACTACAAACATTGATAATTATTATTAATACTTCGCATCTCTTTGAGACCTATGTTCAAGTTCAAGTATGTATTTTTTTAGTCACCAATTTCATATTCTCCACATCCAGTTTAATTTCATTCTCTGAATACATACGTATGTCTATGAATAATTAATTTGTCTGTTAATGAAACAATGCATAATCTTGACTAAGTTCCAAAAATAAATCATTCATACAATGAACATATTCCTTTGCATAGCAGCAGGTGTGCATATCTGACCTGTGTGTCTCTGCAGTATACTATAAATCATAATACCATAGGCCATGGAAACAGTGGTTACTTATCTTAGTAATAGGCACACTAATCAACCTATATTGCAGTACATTGTCTGAAATAAAGCATGATGTTTAAGGAGTCCTACCCACACCTGTAAGTTAAAATAAAGATTCTGGTGTTCTTGAAGTTTCCTGCTATAGTATTTCAACCTTGGAACCCTTAAATCTTTATTGTTTAACATTTAATAGATTGATGGCAAGGACCCTTGACTTTCATGCTTACTTCCAAACATTAAAAAAATGTACATTTTTTTGCAGATCTTTCAGAAAACAGTCACATGTACAGTCTGCGACTTTATCCACTAGTCTGAAGTCTGAGAACAGAAAATCATAGTCCATACATTCATAAAGATACAAAAAGTCTATTTTGAGGTTGTTGTAGTTTATTCTAAAATACCACACCTAACAACCCTATTAATCCTACTTATCATTACCTTGGACCTATTAGTATTAGCAGTGAATCTTATCATAATACACATACACAAGCTTTATATATGATGCTTCACATCTACATGTCATCAACATTCTGATTTCAAGGAATGACTAAACATGTAGACTTTGTGTCAATCACTGAGTCAGTGATCTGTCCCTTTGCAATCAACTGTCACTCAAATCACTTTCAAATGCATTACACTACTACAGCACCAATGTTTGTTACACAACCACTGACAAACTTATATCACTTCCACTTACATCATCCTGTGATTAACATGTCTGACATGATTAACCTTATGAGGTCACTTGCAGAGCCTTAATTATGTCAATTATGTTAATCCCTGAAATTATGTGATCAATTTCAGCTATACAAAGTTTGCTTGGTGCTTATGTAGGACAGAAACACATGCTCGTTGTGTCATGCATGTTGCTATATATTTTCTCATTTCTATATCCTCTTACCACATTAGCTTGACTAGTTGAGAGAAACCATTTACACATTAATTCTACATTTCTAAAATATTCCATATGATAATAAAAATGTTTTTAGTCTTCAACTGATTTATTCCTTAACATTCTCCTTTTCTCAAAATGAACTAATAAACCATTATTGATGTATCCTGTGGTCTGAGGAAAGAGACTGCAAAATAGATTATTTAGTGCATCAACATTTCCAAATTCAAAACACCAAGAAAAAATTGCCAATATACCTGATTCCATTCAAAAAGAGCTTTACACCAAACCACAATACAAACACAACTAGAACTGACAATGACCTAGCTTTTGTACAGTGCTTTCAGCCAAATTCAAGGTCAGGACAAGTTGAACATAAGCATGGCCACACAGTTATCTGTTTCCCAGTAGAAATTCTGGTTTGTAATTAGACTTAGGTCACATGTTCAATCATATCCTGCAGCTGCAACTCTTTCGTTTCCACTCTTACTGAACATAAAACCATCACTGTGAACAGAGGGGTTATTTGAACAAAACAGGCATTGATGATAGAGCAACAGTTTCACCTTCTTTTGTAGAGGACAGCTCTGTGCCATCGACATCAAACTCCAACTCGGGTTCATCTGTGTTCATGAACAACTCAGGATCAACACCAGCCGCATCATCACCGAATGCTGTGGAGGGAGAACACAGAAAACATCACACATCAGAAAAACTATGAAAGATAGATCTGGTTGCATAGAGTGTTAAAAACTACTAATATCAAGACATTAGAGGGTTTTTTCTTCAAATAATATAAAAACTAAACCATCTAAAATTTATCAGGCTGCCTGTCCACAATAGGCCTGGTGTCAGATTGATAACCATGGTTAAGAAGCAATGATCAAGCAAAGATTTCTTAGTCAGTGTACACATGGTACATCCTTAATCGAACAATACCATTTACACAATTAACGCTTAGCAACATTTCAGGTACTTGCATAATGCAAGTACCTGAAAAGATATGTTATCAATAATTATTTAGCGTCACTCAGAGTTGACAGAACATGTTAGACAGTAGTCGAATATGAGAAAATATTTGGTTGTCAAATCATTCTCGAGGAACACTGAAAGAGTGACTTGGGTTTTAAAGTGCAGATGCATTCTAGCCCTGGTATTCAGATAACATATTAGGACACAGCCTAAAAAGCCCCAAATTCTACAAGCCAGACAGGATTATGATTCTTTCAGCCTTCGAAATTTACACTAGTCTTCTGGCCTGAGACTACTAAACTGTGCTGAAGACAAGTAACAATCCAATGATGGTAGTCATTGACAAGAAGAATTTGAGGACTCATAATATTAATTCTGCACTAGTTTTCAATGCATCAATTTTGCTACAAACTGGAAATGAAGATAACTGACAAGAAATGCAAAAATAGTAAACACTTTTGTCTCATTCAAGCAGAGCTAGCTACAAACTCTGATAACTAGTGAATGAAGGTTTACTATCAGTACTCTGGACTCGTCGAATCTTTAAAAAAAATAAAAATTCCAAGGCTGCTTTAACATGCAAGCTGTGACTGTGTGTGAGGCATGAGCTGTAGGGTTTAAATAAGTTTTAATTTGCATCCAAATAATCAAATGATCTTCTTGTTTATATTTTCTTAGGTCTTGAATAACGACAATGCAGTGATCCTGCACAAAATTCCTATAAATGCAAAGAAAACATCTGCTTAACAATGTTGAAGGAACCAAAATGAAACAAATAGCCACACAAGAACAACCACCAATCTGTTACTGATAAATATAATACAGGGTTATATTTAGAACATTCACCTAACTGACAGATGTTACTGGAATGTTTGGTGACTAAAATTATTTCACTGAAGCAGTACTGACAGAATAAATACATTTTGGAGCATAGACTTTCAGCAGTTCTGTACAATAACATTAATCATGTCAATTTTCTGAATATAATGGTCACATAAAACATCTAAACAGAACTAGAAACATTCGCTCCTTCAGAGTAATTTTGCAGTCATGCAGGACCTAAAGTTGAGTCATTAACATGAGAGAACACACTGATCGTATCATTGCAGATGCAAAATTCTTCAAATAAATCAACTACAATGGTACATAACAATGTTCCTCAGTTCCACAAAATGTCTGGAAGTACCATTATATATTTACTCTTAATATACATGGGAACGTCAAAGACTGGTGTGGAAATGCAAACTCAGCAATTTTTGCAATCCATAGCAGTGTCTGCTACTGTTACTTGAGTTTTCTGAACAGGGGTTTACTGCTGTTCTAATTAGATATACAAGTGATGTACAGATGACATGAACACCATACTGTCATTTTATTTCATTTTAATTTGTATACCTTATCGTGCTAATCCTTTGCAATTGTCATGCAAAATACTTGGTTTGACCTGAAAAAACATATTTTTCCAAATCTTAAAACACTGATCCAGGTATGGTGTCGCAGTGAATTTGGAAATCTGTAAATGAATGAGGCAGTTGATAAAACTTTAACCTGTATCAGGGATCCCAAGAGTCAAATATAACAGCAGATGACCTCAGATCCTAAGGACTCCATAATTTTGAATACTGGCTTTACTACAGCAGTGTAATCTGGCCTCGAGCTCCTGACAAATCAGTGGTTGATAGATAAATTCTGATTACATCCCCACTGCCATGGCTGCATGAGGTTGCACAATATTGTCAATAAGTCTGATCACTGTGTGGATTAGGTCTCCCCCCCCCCCCCCCCCCCCCCCAAGGGTTATCACTCCACGTCCTATCAGCATGATCAGTATGCAAATTCAGCAGGCACTGTGGCATCCTTGAATATCCACATTATTATTTCCATACTACAGGGAAGGTGGGATGTCAATGGGCACTCTCCAGCTAGCCTGTATAGGTTGGGAGATAATATCATAGGTACCCAAAGGGCTAGTAGAATTTCGGATTCTTGGGGGATGTCTTTGTATTTGTTAGTTCTTATCAATGGTTTCCAATTAAGTGCATCCATGTTAGTTACTGTTAAGATATACCCTGGACCACCTGTGCCCTTCCAATAAGAGTATCATGATACACCCGCCTCCTGCATAGATTAATGTATCAATACTTCAGTCACTGTACAATCCATATTGCCCTCATTAATCTAATTTGCACAGTTTAGGCAGGAAATGCTCAGGCTCATCCACACAGTATTATGCATGCATTAGCAGTGTTAAGCATGGAAATATAGGAGACATTGTCATAACATGAATGTTAATACCAGTAATTGAAGATTTCGGGGGTTTCTGGATTAATTACTATAGCAGCAAACATAAAGGACCCAAGGACCCCCTTTGATATCAAACACTGATTAGTTTTATAAGATTTAGCATTTTGTTTCTTGATAGGCGGTACTGTAAAAAGTTGGCCCGAAGTTAAAAACTTTGAAAATACTCCTTTAGAAAAATAATACAGAATTAAAACATGAATTGATACCTGGGTAGCATCAGGTTATGATTAATAATTACAAATTATATAACTGATTACTTCTATATCCACTTTTGTTGTTTACACTTTAGTTTTTTGTGAAATATTAAGCAATGTGTACAAGTTAAAACAAATACAAATGGAATGAAAATCAGGGAGATGTTTTATAATCATGATAATACCAATGTTTACTGGTAGATTAAGATTAAGGAGGTCCTTAGATAACACAAATACAACTTAACAAGCTTAGGAACTCAATAGTTCCCCTTTTCAGTGGTATGAGAATATAATGATATACAAAAATATCCTTATCAACATGATTAATACACAGATACACAATGAATTTGTTTTTAATCAATACATAGTTTCATGAAAGAATTGAAAACAGAGTGCCCTGATGCATGGAATTACCTTATACCTCATATGAAATGAACACAGTCACTATTGTCAAGGTGGAAAATGTCTGGCACTAGATTACCGTATTCGAAGTAATAAGCGCTCAGGGCGCACTCACAATTTAAAATAGGGGGCTCTGTGCGTATTATACATGACAGATATATTTTTCCAGGATTTAATTGCCCGTATTTTAGGGTGCATATAACACACGAGTGCGTATTATACACAAATAAATAAGTCTTGTGTACATTGATCAATCGCAAGGGTGCTAATTTACCAGGGATTGTTCACTAGCCAATATATTAGCAAATATCGCAGTGGGCGCTTATTAGAGCGGGCGCTTATTACGTCGAATACGGTATTATTAATCATGTTAAAAGAGACTAATTCATACATGTGCAGCCCATTTCATACTGTTTTGGTAAGCCCTGTGATGATCCAGGTTAGAATTGGTCTAACAAAGAGGATCAGGTGGTCAAGCACGCTGACTCGGTTGATGCATGTCATTGTATTCAAATTTTGTACATCAATGCTCATGATGTAAATCACTGGATTGTCTGGTCCAGACTCAATTCATTTACAGACTGTCATGATACAGCTGGAATACTGCTGATTGCAACATTAAACAACAAACAAAGTTTGCCTGATACACCTAGGGCTACACACTATTTCAAAGTACACATACAACTTATCAGGTTACAATGACTTTTAAGTATGCCACAGGTGTCAAAGTATACCAGATACTATCTCAATTACAAGGGCTCAACAAATCATCAGCATGTTGACCCATCTTGGAACATCAGTCCATCACTAATATAAAACTAATCAGGTTACACTAACTTTCAACTCAAGTATCTCATAGGTGTCAAAGTATACCAGATATTGTCTCAATTTACAGGGGCTTAACATTTCATTAGAACATCCACCCATCTTGGTACCATGATAATTATATAATATATAATGAAAACATTTCTGGGCCTAAGGTACCCTTTCTCAAAGTTGCACACACAAAATATATTCTTTTACAAATCATCTCCATACACATGCAGGGATAAATCAAGATTTAACAATGTTCTGTTGGCCAGAACAATAAAATACAGTCTCTGGGTTTAACCTTGACCTACAAAAGAAAGGGTCCAGAGGACTCCCAGTTGCTAATTTCAAGGGTCCTTACAGGAAATATGAGGGTCTTGTAACGTTATGAAACTGTGTAGTTTACTGTACTGTAAGATTTAATAATTACATAATTACATGAAGTTTATATTTCTTGTCACAATGATTATTGTGTATGGGTTGATTTAACTGTTGGCCCTTTGGAAAGTGACCAGCTATATTTTACAAAAAGCTTGCTGAAACATAAAGGAGATGGCCCGTCTAGCTTGTCAAAATTTCATAATTTCAAGATTGTTGACCCAAGTTGACCATCTGTTTTTGCAAATGGCCAATGTGGTTGTCATGGCCTGTGTTCTTGGTGAACTTTCATATTAATTTTACAAAACCATGTTCATAACAAGGTCCCACAAATCATGTAAATTGTGTGTCAAAATTGTGTACAATCACTTAGATTCATTATAACAGTCCCAATCTTTAAAGGCTCTAGGACACCTCTGCAGTTCTAACACTGCTACCAATCCTAACATGCTCCTTTTCTAATGGCATTGATCACTGTGTATATTTGTTTACATAATTACATTTCATAAAGAAAACTATTTCCTTCATGTTCAGTAAAAGTTAATGTGATAAACAGATGCTATATTTATGCTGTAGGTCTCAGTCTGATACTGTTGCACCATAATATTTATGGGTCGCGGCCACAAGCTATTGTTACTTCATACTGTCAGCTTCAAATATATTGCATGGATATGAAAGAGGAGTTCCCATTGTATGTATTGAGTGTTACATCATTAGTTACAAGCGTCATACTTCCGAGACTGAATGCTCCTGACCATGATGACATCTGACCTCAATGGTCACAGGTCACAAGAGAAGGATATGTCATAGTCACACAGTTATCTTCTGCAAATCAGACTCACTTCTATCTAAACTGATAACGTTCATTAATAAAAAAGAAAAACAATCATTTAACACTTGTAACAGCTTGGAATATATGGTCTATTCGCTATTAATGCAGTTAGTTTCCAAAATATTGGAGTCTTCTAGCCCAAAATTGGGTCTTACTCTTAGCTTCACTTTCAGTAATTTCAGTGTTATTATATGGGTTATGCTTGGTGTATGAGACCAAACACAATTTCTCTAGACTTAGGCTTTGGACTGCTTGATGGTCGCAGACAGTTAGTTTTGATTGTTTGCCAGTCACACTGGTTACCAGTGAAGACAAAGATATATATCAATGAACGATCCAAGTGAACATTATTCACCTTTTTACACATTTACACAAAACTCAGTATACAACTTTTGCCCCTAGTCCAAAACCCGAGCCAAATAAAATTCTGTTTGGTCTAGCAAGCTCAACTAATGACAGCCCATATAATACCACTAACTGCTTGAGCTGGGATGATTCAAGAACTGTATCATCTGATACATATCACAATACCTTGCTCACCATCTGATACATATAACGATACTTGAATGTACTCTTTTCTGTGGAGTGTGCGCCATCTTTTTCACAGACAGGAGGGCCAAATACCTGTCACCCTGACAATTTACAGTTAGCAGTGTCACATATGGTGCAATGGATCAAAATATTTATGTTTTCACCACTAATTTTCCCTACCAATTAGTGTTTGGTGTAACTGTTACGAAAGCAAACATTTAATGTAAGAAACGATACTTTTAACATAGTGTGCAACTGTTATTGATACTTGTAAGTTGTATCAAGAAGTACAAAATCGCAATCCACCAACGCATCGTCCCACTATATCATACTATATGCAGCTGAATACTGATCCATTCAATCAAAGTAATTTGTTTACAGTGAAAACTTGTAACAGATGCTTACCACCTCTGGTCTCTTCTCCAAAATCCTCTAAATTGTGTGACATGATGTAAAAATGTATATCCTCTTCTGTCTTAATCACTTGGCAACATTTACTTCATGCTGATTGCCACTTGATTTTCTCCAGTCAGTAATGTTTTCGATGTTGTTTTTGACATACCCTGTAGTAAAATCCAGATGTTGATGACGTATACGATAAAATCATGCAGTCGTTACGTCGTCCAGATACGACGAGGGAAAATAATAGGAAGCTCTGAATCAACGGTGAACGTGAGAATGTCTGATCGAATGACTTCAAACCTTCGTGTTTACAAATACAATACGGGTGTGAGAAGTGTAGGAAGGCTTTGTGGCAACGGTGGAAAAGCCTAATCGTTGTTTGCGAAGGTATTCAAATGATAGGTTGCAGTGACTAACAGTTAAACTCCTGTTTCATTGTGGCTGACAGCTGAGAAAAATCAAAACCGAGCTCTCTTCGTGTCGTCTGCCCCCGGAAGCCACCTTGTGTTGAATGTTCATTACAATCCAGTTGAAACATTGGCCACAATCTTGAAATCCTTTCAATCTAGAAGATATGATGGTAATATCCAACCACACAAAGCTGAACAAATATTTGAAATGGAACTCTAAAACGGCAACAAACAAACAAACTGCACTTGACTGACTGCTCCTATGTTAGTTTACGTCACATCTGTAAGGGAGGCTACTCCATGATTAAACCAGGCATACCGCTAAAGAATTCACAGGACGACATAGTTGCCCCAGCAACTACGTAAATAAACTGATTATTTTGAATTCACGCGATTCTATCAAGGTCTGGTTATTAGTATATGTGATTAGAGCTGTGGGGACATTTATTATGGTCTCATTAAGTTTCTTCCCACCTTGTAGGCCAAGGTACACTACATTCATCCTTTTAACATTATTACAGATTGTTTCCATTTTAACGGAAAAGTGAAACCATTGTCATCATTTTAATACATCAAATGCGAATTAAAAAGCGAAAACAATCACCTTCTAATTGATGCATGAAAAGAACACCGGTAATTAACATAAGCGGATAAGCATCCAAAACTGATTTCAATTAGCACGTATTAACGAGCCAAGGGTATTGGGTACATATGGACGCCACGTGACGGGGATTACCGACAACTGATGCAGTACGTGACTTCTAACAATCAATCACAAATAATAAACCTACATCGATGGTACATGAGTACAAATAAAATATTGTAATCTACAACATGTAGAGCAAGATGGCAATTTATTATTTGAAAATAACGTGTTTTAGTTAGTTTGTTTGTTGTTTAACGCCGCACTCAGCAATATTCTAGCCATTTGACGGTGGTCTGTAAATAATCGAGTCTGGACCAGACAATCCAGTGATTGATAACATGAGCATCGATCCACGCAATGGGGATACGATGACATGCATCAAACAAGTCAGCGAACCTGACCACCCGATCCCGTTAGTCGCATCTTACGACAAGCAAAGTCATTCACCTTTTGCGACAAGCATGGGTTGCTGAAGACATTTCTACTCCGGATCTTCACGTGTAAGAGCTAAGATCCTTTTTTAATGGTGGGGGTTTTGTTGTTTAAGAATAATTGACGCTATTTTGCAAGGTTAGGCCATATTCAGTTGTTGTCTTTTTAGAATGATTTAAGACCGTAAATCAAGTGTTGGGATTTAAAAAATAATAATGAAATTCATCTCCAGTTAATTGTGAATCACATAAAGTACACACTCCCAGGTTCAGCCGTCTTCCAGTTTCTATGGGAAATCTATCTTTACTTTAAACAGTAAAGACAAGATACTTAATGGTTGACAACTCTTTGTTCTATAATGATGCGACGTTTCGGTATAGATTCTTATACCGTCAAGCAAGAATGAAAAGACAGCTCAGTAAGGGTTATATACATCAAATAAGGATAAACAAAAACAATATGAGGGTATGCATGAAAGGAATTAACAACAACAAAGGATAAGGGTTGACTAAAATAGTAACAACAGAAATAAGCTAATAGTTGATTGATATCAGAAAGAAGCCAACTGTACATGACGGGGTACAAAAATACAATTGAAATATACATCATTACTTGTTCTAAAATAAAGGCATAGTCTTTTTCAGATATAATCTGGAAGAAGTAAGTAGTTTTCGAAAGAGGGAGCGTCCTTTGTGTTATATGTATACCTCAGATGAATTTTTCGTATCACTCGTCTAAGATTGCAGAAATTGAAAGCGATTAAGTTGAGAAAGATGCCCTCATGCTAACTAGAAGTTTGTTCAAACAAGTTTATTCATATAGTAACATCAACTTACTGATATTATATTGTTCAGAGTGTATAAAAAGAATACATATATATTTGATATAAGAGGTTGAATTGGGTGAGTTAATCAATTAGAAGTAAGTAAAACAAATTAAAAAGAGATCAAAGTATCTATGATATAAATATCTGGCATGAGTAAAGACAAAATTATCACCATTGATGGTTTGAGGAATATTGACTTTGTGGCGTCGCAGAAAGGAAAACCACAAATGCTAGTTGATGGACACCCTCCACACCAAGCATGTTGAAAGACGGACAGGCATCCTCTGGGGTTGTGTGAAATCTCTGTAAGCAATGTATTGAGAAATGCGACTGAAAATAATCGTCAATCAGAAGAGAAAATAGGACTCATGTTTTTCGAGCAACATGTAGATGATGGCCCAAGAAGAAAAGACAACACAGATGTACGCCATGTACACTGATGAAGAAGCCAGCCTAGACTCAGCAGATGTCCACGTCTTCCCTTCTTTCCTTTGATTTGTAGCGCCCTCTGCAGACACAGGAGGAGGGCGGTTCCTGTACATCCTCAAACTGGAGCAGACGTTCAGCTTGAGACAGCAGTTGGTCAAACGTACCTCGTTCAACGACGGCGAAAAGATCCCGATCTCAACTTCAATCACTTTAGTCATGCAGCTGACACCATTTACATGGTCGGCACCTTCAACTCATTCCACACCATATGGAAGCAGGTCTACAGTATTCCTGGTAGAACCGTATCTACAACTTATCCTCTTGTGTATGTACTCTTGCCACTCCGCCAGATGACCACATACATCAGGCAGTTCGGACGGCTCAAGACAGAGGTCCAACAAAGAATCAACCGCCCTGTAGCCCTGTAGTCCCCGCCCGTGTACAGATAGACTTAGAACTAGCTGCAATATATGCTGCTGAAATACCTTTATGAATGCAGAAATGAAATGGTGCCACATTCACTATTGTCAAGCTATCTAGCCTGACCCAGGAGCTGAGTGAAGCCGTGCTGTATATGGTTGGTTGGTTTGTTGTTTAACGCCGTACTCGGCAATATTCCAGCTATATGACGGCGGTCTGTAAATAATCGAGTCTGGACCAGACGATCCAGTGATTGATATCATGAGCATCGATCCACGCAACTGGGATCGATGACATGCATCAACCAAGTCAGCGAGCCTGACCACCCGATCCCGTTAGTCGCCTTTTACGACTAGCATAGTCGCCTTTTACGCCAAGCATGGGTTGCTGAAGACCTATTCTACCCCGGAATCTTCATGGGTCTGCTGTATATGGAGAAGCTTGATGTATAAGGCTTGATGAGCAGAGGTGGAAGCAAGGAACTGAACACCTGATGCCGAGAAAGCAGAATCTTTCAAAGACTACATGGGTAGATTGCGATGCATGTCTCCCCTCCATACCCTCTGGACCACAATGCTACATCAGACCAAGAACAAACAACAACTTAGAAGGCTTCTACAGCCGTCTCAACAGAACACGTCCCAACTACCACCCTTACATCTACCGGTTCATCGCGGTCAAAACCTAGACTGAGTCAGCAGACAGAGCCAAGATAATCCAAGTGAACTTTGAAGTAACCCCAAGCAACAGAAAACGAGTCTACATAGAGATTGAGAATCGCCTGCTTAGTTCGAAGGATCAGTTTGCCCAGGGCCAGAATTCGAAGACTCCGCTGGCATTCCTTGAATGCTGTTGGACATTTACTAACATTTGGTTGACTTGCTAATCATAGTAAAGCGATTTTAAAATTTAAGATAATTTAAAAGATTTAATGCTGAAACAATTAAATAATGATATAAAATATACATGTGTGTGTTGTTATATATGCTAATATATATATGGCTCATAGCAAATATTTTACACATGTTAACATGTGAGAATCAAATTCATTCTATTTTCATTATTCAGCGTTTTTTATCTGTATGTTGTAAGGCAACAGACTGGATTAGTTATTTTGGGACATCTTATTACTAATCAGACTGGCCTTTTTGTGAAAATTAGGAAATTAGATTATTAATTCTGCCTGGTCCATTATTCATGGGTCTCATTGATCCAGAGACTAAACGGTCCAAGCAGTAGAAACATTTAACGTCTTCTCCACCGAAGTAGGCATTCAACTGGCAAACACAGACATGTTTAAACTGTGATTCGAGATTCAAACTAGTGTGGACAACAGGTGCTCTGGCCGAGTTCAGTGATTGGTTGGAATATGTTCCCAGAGCACGAGCCAAATGTGACCTTGTGACAGCCTCGACACGCTTCATTGCAGGCATGCACGTGTCAGTTACTCTTACGCGAGTATTTCTATCGTGGATATTGTTACGAGATTATATCCAAGTTGAAAGCCAAAGGTTAGCCCCAGAACTAAATTTTGAAATCGGTAAATGACCACACAGATCAATGGATAATCAACACATTATATATTAAACACACATGACGAGGTTAATTGTCACAAAAGGCACTGTACGAGTCAAATATGTGACATCAGCATTGAGTATCAGGCATTATAACGTGTGTGCGCACGATGAATGTCAAAACTGCGTCACTGTCGACTGTCTTCAGACAGACACGTGCTCCTTTCTTGTATTCGTCATACTGTTGGAACCCAGCTAACAATTTCACGTTGTGACAACGTCGTGACAACGTTGTGTTTACGTTGTGGTAACGTTGCGGATGTTACGTCCATATAACGTTATTCTGTGGACTCCCATTTATGTTGTCACAACGTCATGGCCTAACGTTGTGTTACGTCATATTCACGTCGTCACAACGTTGTGATGACGTTGTATTTTACGTTGTGGGAACGTTGTGATAACGTCGTGTTTACGTTGTGGTAACGTTGCGGATGTTACGTCCATATAACGTTATTCTGTGGACTCCCATTTATGTTGTCACAACGTCATGGCCTAACGTTGTGTTACGTCATATTCACGTCGTCACAACGTTGTGATGACGTTGTATTTTACGTTGTGGGAACGTTGTATTTGACGTTGTGGTTATGTTGTATTTTACGTTGTGGGAACGTTGTATATTTACGTTGAGGGAACGTTGTATTTGACGTTGTGGTTATGTTGTATTTTACGTTGTGGCAATGTTATAATAATGCGTCCCTACAAAGTTATTCTGTGTACTACCACAGACGTTGTCACGACGTGAAATAACTTTGTGTTACAAGGATGAAATACGGTTGTGACCATTCCACACTAAAATGTTGTAAAAACAACCCCAAAACTTGTTCCGGAAATGTTTTAGAATATGCTTTAGTCACGTGAATGTGTATGATTCGAGATACCTTTTACCAATATTTTCAAACCGGGGCGTCGAATAGCCCGGTTAACAGTGAGTTAACTCGTGTTTTGCTAACAATGTTCAAAATGTAAAAACACCACTGAGCTGTTAACTAGATACATGATTTGACTATAACAAAGTCAGACACCATTACCCTTTAGGCTTGTACTGAAAGAAACAAAAAAAAAGAATGGCAGACATTGTAAGGGGTTGACCATGTGATATTTTCTGGGGAGGGTCGGGTCCTGGAATATTATCGAAAAAATATATTGTCACCGAAAATTCTTGACAAAAATAATTACGGTTCAGACTGGTGAAAAAAATGCCTGCCACAAAAAAATGACATAGATCTAGATGCAAGGTGCTTATCTTCAGGCCCAAAGAGTTAAAGAAAATCATATATCTGCTTTTGTAGCTGTGACCGAACCCCACCTCCTTGAATATTAAATGGTCGGTCTCTAATCAAGTCCATATAGTATACTTCAACTTTCAGTCATGCGAAGTCACCATTCAACAAAGAACTCCAAGACACATTTGCGTTGACATTTTATTATTTTTAGATTATAGAAAATGTATACACTTTTCGAAATTATTGAATGCCAGAATCTTCTTTCTTTGGTGTTCACTTCCACTTCCCTGAAATACAAACAGCTCAATAAATCTCGAGCAGGTATATGAAAGATTTCATATGACGAGAAACATTCATTTGGAGATAAGGTATTATCAATATTCAAACTATAATGTATAATTCAGGTGACTGATGGAAACAAATTTTAACATTCATTCAGAGACATCAAGAATCAGGTTGAATACAAAACGTGGTACGAGCATAGATTTATATAAATATATCTACATTCTTAGCATTCATTTCAAGCAAAAAAAAAACCCACCAATTAACATGGATATAGACAATGGAATGTAACCGTAAACAATTGTACTTACGTTAACATAATTCACAGCCCAGGGTTTATTTGGTGTGTTCCTCAATGATTCAACATTCTTGATTTTATCTCCTGGAATGGTCGTGTAACATTTCCCCCCTTGCTGCAACGAAAACATATTTAAAAAGTCAAAACTAAAACTATATTCAATAAGCATACATTTAGATCTGTAGTCTAAACAAAAAGATAACATACATTGTATAATTGCCTAAAATTTAGGAAAACTGTAAATCTAAAGTCTTCATGTATAAGGTCCGATCGGAAATAAACTCAGGCTACAGATATAAGTAACAAAATTATGAGTACCATCATAAAAAAAACACCTAATGTAATTTGGTTTTACATATACACAGGTCTGACAAACCAGTGATTGTTATAGTGAGCCACGTCTCACAACCTCTGTCAGAGTACAATGACACGCAATCATGTTAGTACAAACATGGTTTGTTGGGGACCTTTTCTAAACCGGAATCCAAACGGGAACAGATATATTTGACAGGCATTGTAGCTAATTACGACTCACATCTTCATCGCAGCGCTGTTTATATAGATCTAGCTACAGTACGATTTCGTAGCTAGCACTGGAACTTACTCGTTCAGTTTTCGATCACCATTTTATTCTCTCTCATTGCCAAAACGTTTCAGAGTACCAAGTATCATATACTTACTACGTTTATTAACATAATACAGTTCAATACCGTTAAATATAATTCTGTAGTATGGTAGGCTACCTGGCAACATACAGAGATCGAAAACCGAACGAATATGGTTGCTATCAATTCCATTGTATTTTTTTCATTGGTGCACATTGACTAGATCTACACCTATCTGACCTTAATAATCAACAAACGATGACCAAATCACTGACAGTGTATGGTGATATTTAACTTTTGATTATCGACTAGCTTCGACTAGCTTAGAGAACAATACCGCAAACACCCCGTTATAGCGCGCGACGAGACTCGTTTTACTTTTGCTCGTTTTCATTAGAAGGGAGTCGGACATAGATCTAGTTATCGGAAAATGATGAATTGATTCTTTTTTTGGGAAATATTAAAAATACACATGATAAGCGCCTTGCTCAAACAAACTTTATAGACAGCACCAACAACCATATGATCCACATTTAGGCTACTTCAGTCAGTGCTAATTGGGTCTTTTCGGGAACAACAAGTATGTTTCTGTCTCTTCCCGAAAATACAATTTTTCATAACATCATTGAGCCCTTTAGACTAGGGCTATAACAAGCAGCCTACAGAGAGTCGATCTGAAAATACTTCCATTGTTTTGATTCCCTCTCTTCGCTGTATAAGAGAAATCTACTCAACCTTTCCCATGGCCTGAATGAGCCACATTGTTTCACAAAAATCAAAGTCAGAATATAAACTTTCAGATTTCAGAAATAACACGGAAGAAATGGCGATAACTGTCAGTGGTCAATAGGCGATGCATACATGTACGTTGGGCCTATTTAGGCCTACAGACCTATAGATCTACGCTTACGATCGAAACCCGAACATAATATGACGACCACAAAACGCCGCCAGACTGAATTCTGGTCAAACATATACCTACTGCTTGCCCTTGGTAAATACCCTTGGTATCCATAAAATAATAATATGGTAAAAAGTCATGGGCTTCCTTCACCTCTATATACATCACGTTCTGTGTATCAAATATTACTATCAACACTGACGCTCAGCTCAGTGAAAGTGACCAGCAAACTGCATTCTAAACCCCGCCACTTCTGAATAATACGATACATTTAAATCATTTGACGATCTGCATGTACAGAAACATATCAACAAGCGGAGACTGCTTTTGAAAAATAACTTACCTTATCCGAATTCACAGATCATCTGTCCAGTTCCCGTTGCTGCACAATCACTTGGTTGTAATATATCCAGAGTGAGTTGAACTAAGATGGCTGGTGACAACAAATCTTCCGCGACAATGTGACGTCATTTTGACGTCACTTCACGAGGCAACAGGCTAAACTTTTCAGCAGTCGCTCTCACGCCGCAAAAAATGCGCGCCAATGTGTTTTTAACTGTAATTTTGCTTTAGACAACATTTAGTAGACAGATAACTTCGCTCATAGATATATATGTTTAAAAAAATAAAACTACGAGATGGTAGATCTACAAGTGGTTTCCTCAACATCATTTACAAAAAGTGTTGTAATGTCCAGCATAACGTTATCACAACGTTAATTTGCAACGTTGTTGTTACGTTGTGGAATAACGTTACAACGTAACGTAATACTAACGTTGTAATAGAGATACGCAATTACGTTCTGGAAATTTTAGTATTAAGAGATAAAAATTCAAATGCCGAATATACAGAAAGGTAATGCATTACTGCCTTGGTATTCTGACAAATTCATGTTGATTTTGATAAAGCAGTTCTATTCCTTTATGACTATCAAGAAGCAAACTTTATAACGTTTCACCGACGTTTCAGAAACGTAGTTACAAAACGTTGTGCGATGTCCGATGCACAACGTTTTCACAACGTGAATGTGCAACGTTGTTGTAACGTTGTGAAATAACGTTGCACGTTGACGTTATAATAACGTTGTGACAACGTTATTTCACGACGTTACCAATCCACAACCTTTCCACAACGTTGTGACAACGTCGTGTGTTAGCTGGGAAGCTGACATGAAGTAGGTGTTTTCAGACAGGTACCCCGTTCGCACTTGGGAAGAAGATAAGACGCAAGTCAGGTCGCAGAAGGCCTCAAATAGCCCTCTCGTGTCACTCTTACATTGGTACAGCTCGCCTTCTACACATTTTTCGAACGATCAAATCTATGTGGTTTGTTTACAACAAAGGCTGGTATTTCTAAATCACACTTCCGGCGAACAACAAACTTTACGAATGATCAAATCTGTGATGTTTGTTTACAACAAAGGCAGGTAATTCTAAATTACACTTCCGGTGCAGATAGGCCACAACAACACCCGATATTTTACGAGGGTTTCAGTCATTTGCTGCCACTGACAATTACAACACATAAACATACAACAATAGCTATAATGCTACTTAATATCGACACAGCTTATCCACATCCAGTTTTAAGCTACAAGATATCACAATATGTGCACTGAGCATTAACCCATATATTTAATCACAAATATGTTCATTGCTGTGTTAGTTCGGCAATTTACCGCATTAATTAACGGACAAGAAAAACATATGTGACAATGCCGCTTATACATATTCAACGGGGTCAAGAGAAAGGTCGTGGTTTTCTTGCCCGTGTTTATCAGTTCATGGATTTGCTTCTTTGATGTGGGTACGGAATAACGGATAGAGTTGATGCATTGCAGTGCGCTTTTGACGCATCACTTTAATAGTTGTAGAACAGCAAATCGTTATGCGGAGTTACGTCCCTCTACCGTGTCAGGATCCGCTTATCGTTCTTCGATTCCAAGATTAACCCTCATTATGATTATTGTAGGATTTTTGTTTGAGACAGACTATTTTTCACAATCTCATTAAAACAAGATCTTAGTGCTACACAAATATCCTTTGTGTAGGGGAAGCGAACACTAAGATCTTATTTTAATGAGATTGTTTGTTTATGTCAGCTCTTAAAACATATATTATTCTCTCTCTCTCTCTCTCTCTCTCTCTCTCTCTCTCTCTCTCTCTCTCTCTCGTTCCCGTTCGTCGCGTTAAGGACAAGCATGGGTTGCTGAAGACCCGGATGTACACGGGTAATTTATCATTATAGACTGGAAAAATGTTATTATACCCTTAACGATCGAGGATATTTGTGTTTTGCAGGAGACAATGATGCATCAGCACCATTTACATACAAGATTTGACAGTTTTCTTTCCAAACATTCGCTGCCATATCTGTGCTTTGGAGTGAGTGAGTGAGTGAGTGAGTGAGTGAGCTGAGTTTAACGCCGCTTTTAAGAGTATTCCAGTTATGTCGCGGCGTGTCAGCTTAATGTGGGAGGAAAGCCCGAAGTAATGCGGGTCTCAGACGTTTACCACTCCGGTGAAACCCACGAGCAAGGGTATGGTGCTGACAAACCTAGAAACATAATTGGGGCGAACTGGGATTCGAACCTACAATCATAGGTTTCTGGCGTGCCCAAGGGACGCAACTCTGCACAGCGAATAGCGGCGCCTTAGACGACTGGGCCACCCGTGCCCTGGAGCACCGGGAGTCAACGTCAAACAAATGGGGGCGCTTCTTAACCTCTGTTGCCAACATTAATTCTTTCATTTGCGATATTGGGGTGCGGTCGGGGAGCCTAGTGGTTAAAGCGTTCGCTTGTCACGGTGAAGCCCCGGGTTCGGTTCCCGACATGGGTACAATGTGTGAAGCCAATATCTGGTGTCCCCCGCCGTGATAGTGCTGGAATATTGCTAAAAGCGGCGTAAAACCATACTCACTCATTCGCCCACACATTTGCGATATTGGAATTGATTTGGTGCAATGCAAAACTATAAATAACAACTGTGCTCATCCTCTTGTCAGGGAACTGAAGGAAGTGACGTAACTAGTAGGGGATTCCCCGCAGCAAGCTGTATTAACTATTTCTTTGAGCGATCGGAAAAAAAAATGTCGACGTGCGGCGCTCGTGTGGGTTGCATGTTGATATACGAGAAAACACCCTGAGCTGTTTCTTTGACGCACTACGCTGCCGGTAGACTCGTATGGCTAGCGGCAAGAGTTACTGAGTCGTCTGATGTATCGCAATTCACTGTACAGAGTTACGTCCCTTAGGTATGTCATTGAGGAACCTGCTATCGCTGGTTGCCCCTGATCATTTTTCTTTTTGGGTGTTACTGTTTCATTGTGGGTTCAACAAAAGTAGTTAATGGCTCAGACATTTATCACTTGGTACTTCGTCCCACATCAAGCTGACATGCCGTAATATACCTGGAATGCTGTTCAAATCGGCCTTACACCAAATCCACCCTCTCACCGATGTTGGCCACATGACCAGACCGGACAGTAGAATAGTTAGATCTGCAAGGCCACGGTCAATTTCAAGTAAAGTTTAAAGTATAGTTTAAAGTAAAGTAAAGTAAAAGTATGGTGGCCGAGAGGGGAGATCGCTTCTCGCCTTCAATTACTGTCGCGATAAAGCCATAACACGAGACGAGAAAGCGATAGCACGAGACGAGACAGCGATAACAAGGGAGACGAGAAAGCGATAATGCGAGACGAGAATGTCGATATGTATATTGCTTTCTCGTCTCGTGTTATCGCTTTATCGCTTTCTCGCGGCCCTCATTGAAGGTAAGAGGTCCCCTCTCGGCCACCATATAAAAAAACATAACGAAAATTTTCCAATGATTCCTCTTGGTATTGAAATCAAATTTGAAATCATTGTTAGAAGAGTCACTTCTTGATAAATACAAGCCGGAGACGAGGTGCATGGGCTTACTTCTGTTTGGGTAGCGACGAAAATGTCAGAACAGCAAGTGAGCCATTTGGTGAAACCCATGACGACATGTATGGTGCTGACAAACCAAGAATCATAATCGAGCCGAAATTGGGATTCAAACACGCGACAAGCGGATCCTGGCACGAACAGGGACGCAACGCTGCACAACGAGTTTCTTCAACTCAGACAACGCCACCTTGTGAAATATTTTTAAATCAGGTATACTTTCGAAACAGAGAACCAAGACAAGTGAGTGAGTGAGTTTGGTTTAACGCCGCTTTTAACAGTATTCCAGTTATATCAAGGCGTATCAGCTTAATGTGGGAGGAAAGCCCGAAGTGATGCAGGTCTCTGACGTTTATCAATGCGGTGAAATCCCCAAGGACGGGTATGGTGCTGACAAACCTAGAAAAATAATCGGGGCGAACCGGGATTCGAATCACAGGTTTCTGGCGTGCCCAAGGGACGCAACTCTGCACAGCGAATCGCGGCGCCTTAGACGACTGGGCCACCCGTGCCCCACCAAGACAGTATCCACTGCACTTTCACTGTTAGCAATGAAGTTCGCGAATTGTTCCGTGTTATTACGATTAAATACTATAATTCGAAGCTTATTCTAACCTGATGATACAAGATATGAGAACAGTGAAACAAATACCTAAGGGACATTAACATAAATCATATATATTTTGTCACTCTTTGCGTCACTATTCACCACCCTCTGACCATGTTATTTTGCACTCTGAATGCGGGGGCGGCCGTCTCATGTATGGATACTACGCTGCCCTAATCGTCCACCGAACATGTGTATTACGCTTAAATAGTTGTATGATCGTCATGTTGTTTCTTTAATAAGTATCTGTGTGTTATTAAAAACTAGTAGTTACGTCAACACGTGTCACAGTGCGAAGACATCTCCCTGATTTAATGACTGATCTGTCAAATTCCAACATGGCTTTTGCACTAGGCAGTTTTTTATAGCTTCCTCATCTTGTCATGGGTGTCTGAAACTCGTCTCCGGCCTACGGCTGTTGGTGCCACCTGTGTTGTAGATGACGCAGATGCAAAAACACCAGTACTCAATTCCCCCCAAACTTACACCATTGTGTTGAGATGGTCTCGAGGTTAAAGGGTATGAACGTATATTTAAAAAGCCCATTCTTGGTGTCACTCACTCACTCACTCACTCATGCTATTTAGATTTTGTAATTTTGTCTGCAAGGTTGAGTGAACGAATGTTGTTTGACGATGAGACAGCCAGGTATGGCCACATAATCTTCATGCTAGACTCTGGAATATTTCAATGCCGTCTTGAATACATTTGAGGGTCTTCAGTCAAACGAGGTTATCATATTTCTGACAAGATTGACTAGATTCAACATGAGTTTTGTTTGTTTGTTTTCTTTTTCTTTTGTTTTTTATGCCGCAATATTCCAGCTATGGTGGTCTGTAAATAATCAAGTCTGAACAAGACAATCCGGTAATTGACATCATGAGCATCGATCTACGCAATTGGGATACAATGACATGCAACAACCATGTCTACCATCTGATCCCGTCTGTCGCCTCTTACGACCAGCATAGTTGTCTCTTTTGCAAGCACAGGTTGCTGAAGACCAATTCGAACCCTTATCTTCACGGGTCCAACCTGATGAGTTATACGGTGTTAGGCAGTACCCGAAATAAAATGTAATCGTAGATATAATAAAACAAGGCTGTCAGGAGGAGAGACACAAGTACCATGTGCACTGCATCTTCCCGAGGCCTTTATCAAAGCCTAGTGTAGAAACCAGACTTTCATATAGATGGACGCGCTTGCCTCGGTAAGATGTGTGTATTGCTGTGACAAACAACTATGTATATTGATAAGTGTTTCATTGCTTGGAAAAGCTGCAACGTACCTTTTCTATCAAATGCACGTAAAGCGTCAAGAAAGTTCAAAATAACGCGTGGAATATCAAACAGATATGCAAAATCACCATCAGAGTTGAATTTTGGATTCTCAAGAATAAATATCAACAATCGAAAGTTCATTTTCTCTGAACAATATCAATAGCTAGTTCATTATACTCACTAAAATGTCTTCATTCATGGTTGAAGCAATAAGTGAAACTAATTTAGCTCTAACGGCGACGGGGGCGGTCGGGTAGCCTAGTGGTTAAAGCGTTCGCTTGTCACGCTGAAGACCCGGGTTCGATTCCCGACATGGCTACAATGTGTAAAGCCCATTTCGTGATATTGCTGGAATATTGCTAAGAGCGGCGTAAAACCATAGTTACTCGCTCACTCTAACGGCGACATTACTTGTAGGCTGCTAACAAAAGTACCGGATTCCAGGGTTTCTGTTTGTACGGGAAACGTAGGTCAACCGGAGTATGACGTAAATCAGTTAACATGTGCTGATCAGTTTGCACATTGGTCAGCCAAGGTTAACTTGGGTTATACCGTGGTCAACACGGTGTCATCAAGGTCGTCCAGGGTTTTCAAATCGAGCGCAAGCTCTGACAATGAAGTCTACATGGGTGATGGGGGCTTGGAGATAGCTTTGGGCCAGAGGCCTCTTAACCATACAAGAGCCTTCTGACAGCAGAATGCCGCGGCTAACAAAACAACACAAAAAACCGGACCACTGTCCACTGTCTTCTCATTTGTTTACTTACACTAATCGACCCCTGAAGATCCCGGGTTGAATAGGTCTTCAGCAACCCATGCTTGGCGTAAAAGGAGACTATGCTTGTCGTAAGAGGCGACGAACGGGATCGGTTGGTCAGGCTCGCTGACTTGGTTAATGCATGTCATTGATCCCAATTGCGTGGATCGATGCTCATGATATCAACCACTGGATTGTCTGGTCCAGACTCGATTATTTACAGACCGCCGTCATATATCTGGATATTGCAGAGTGTGGCATTAGACACAAACCATCCAACCAACCAACCAACTTATAATAATCATGTACAGATATGTGACATGTTGACTTCATCCCTTTAACTACGTGCACCAGAAAGGACAACCCAGTACAAAGCCCCCCTGTGTAACTTCAGAGACAAAATGACAGTGCTAAAAAACGCTGTAAGATAAACGATTGTACGTGTAACTTGAGGACATATGGAGGAAATATCTTCGAGCCAGTCATAATAATCACTATCGTGATGAGAGATGATTGATCACAATACGTCAGTGTCAGAAAGGTGTAGTATAAAACCCCCTGGCTCGCACCGGCCAGCAGAAGGATACGCTGTTTTACGTGAGGGTGGTGCAAGGAGATGACAATGGCATTAACGGGCATCAGGAGGCTGGTTGTAGTCACAGTAAGTTGTGTCTTATTCATTGACAGATTACCATATATTAATTTACGGTGATGCGGAAAAGAGTACTCCTTTGTGCTCCTTCGTACTCCTTCTCCCCTGATTTTTAAATCATATTTAAATCAACGCGAAGGTCTGTAGTCTTGTGGGTAGAGTGCTCACTCGTCAATCAGGGGATCTTGGTTCGATTTTCATTGTCCTCTATTATGGATTAAATTTTGTATTCACTGTAAAGTAGTTCTTAATTTGCTAAAGTGGACGATTATATTTAAACGGGGGACATACTTTATGGTAGAATACACCTAAAGCGTGCTTAGAATGATGGAACGTTCTACCTTAAACAGTTACTGTATTTAGTTTTAGGGTTGGCGTTTACTTCCATTCTTGTAGTGCAGAAATGCGATAATCATATTACACTCGTTGTATCTACTGCCTATATTCGTATAATTGCTTTTGTGGATATACTAGACCGGGAATACAATCGTTTTTATCTGTTATTCCAGTGCATGCATTCTACAAAAGAACCGATACCTATAAGATACAGATGGACGTTTCGAATTAAAAGCTGTGATCTTTAACCGATAATTCAGTGACCTGAAATCTGATATTTGTGCATAGCTGGTAATCGTATCAAACTGATATTTTAATATTTTTGTTAATGGTTTTAAAGGACATTTACAATGTCCGTTTCTTATGCCAGAATGCTACTTAATACTGTCGAATACAGAACGCCGTTCTGAAGAGTAAATGAGTTTGGCACACATCAAGAATTGTCTTCAACCTTTAGGGATTTCGAACCGATGAGAGAACGCTTTAAGCACCAGGCTACCCCACTGCTTATATACCGTCGTTGTATGGCTCAGATACGGCTGATGTGATGTTACATGTTAGGTCACTCACGAGGCAAATTAATTAATACTACCGGGGAAACTTGTAGCCAAGAGTATTTTGGGGGCTAGGCAAGATTTAGTCTTTTTACTTGAGGGCAAAGACATAATTTGAATGCATCATCTTGTACAAATGGATAAGCGTTGAGGTCTCTTAGTGGTCAAAGCGTTCGCTCGTCACGTCGAAGGCCCGGTTTCGATTCTCCACCTATGTACTATGTACTATGTGTGAAACCAATTTCTGGTACCCCGCCCTAATATTGCTGTAATATTGCCAAAAGCGGCGTAAAAGCATACTCACTCATTCACTAGGTGCTATCCCTAACACGGGTATACATTATGAATCCCGTTCTTGGTGTCCCAGTCGTGATATTGCCACTGGAACATTGATACAAACTGCCCAATGCAATACTAAAACGATTTAGAAAGAACTCGTGACGATATTTCCCTCCCATTATTATTCAAGAACCACCGAACCACTGTACGTTTAGGAAGGCGAGTGTTGTCACAGTTATTAAAAGAATACCTATCATTCCATTTCACTTAAGGTGTTTTGCGTCTTCGGCACAACGGGTTTTATCTCAAGAAAACAACCCGCAACATTCGTAACCATACCACCGACGACAGACAGAGCGAGACTGACATCGGTTCTACCATTGGGCACATCAACCGGTGCAACTACGAATACAACCACGGAACGACCTGATGGCCTCTTAAACAAGTACAACATCACCGCGGCGGCGTCAGCGTCAGCGTCAGCATCGGCATCGGCGTCAGCATCGGCATTGGCATCGGCTTCGGCGGCGTTACTAACACATCCGCCGCCACTGCGACAACCAGTGCCCGAACCCCTGACTGTATCAGAGCCAACGCCGGAACCCAGTGGAAACACATCAGTATCAAATCAGACAGATCCCCTGTACCCGCAACAATCTAGGGGTCATCATGTCGAAACTCCTCAGAGACTTACAACAAGAAGCGGCGTTGGACAAAACACTGTGTCTGGACAGCCAGGGGCCACCTCGACAACATCACTCACAAGTACATCACAAACCCAAAGTGTTACGCTTCAAGCACAGCTAGCACCATCACAACTACCCATGGGACAGCCTATCGAAGCAGCAGCTAGATCTAGCTTGCACCAGGCCACAAGGACTTCACCTGCAGTTACAGTCATTCCATACCCTTGTGATGTAAGTTAATGAAAGAGAAATGTTTAGTTTGGAATGTTTCGACATATGAGACATGAATTATGAGGGTCTCGGCAACAAATAGCTAGAATATGCAACGAATAGCTAGTATATGCAATTATAGCAGTAATTTGGTATCAATAAGGGTTATATTTTACGAATATTGTAGGAAATATATATTATATTAAAAAATACATGTGGTAAATAAAGATTAGCTAAATTGTCACAATGGTACATATATGACTCGTCATGTCTTTCAGGGCTACAACTGTCCGGCAGACAAACCTCATTGTGTTCTGGTTCGTCAGCAGTGTAAAGCTCTCCGGTGTCCAGCTGTCCCAACCTGTTCAGGTAGGCGTGGCGTTAAGTATAACTGAAGTCATACAATAATATTCATGACTGAAGCCAACGGGCCCATATTAAGCCATATTGAACAAGCTGCCTGAAAGGCCAATTTTACAACTGTTTTGTATTTCCTTTATGCCAGCTGTACCACCAGTGACAGTTCAGTGTCTGATTGGGCACCCTGTATATGATGACATCTTCAACCCCTCAACGTGTGGACCGCGAGGCGACTACAACTGTCCCACCCACTCGGACTGTGACGAGACATCTGGCTTCGCGACTTGCTGTTGGACAGGTGAGTAGCACTTGATAGGAGTGAGCGAGCGAGTATTATTTTGTGCCACTTTTAGCAATATTCCAGCAATATCACGGCTGGGGACACCAGAAATGGGCTTCACACATTTTATCCATGTGAGGAATCGAACTCGGGCCTTCGGCGTGAGGAGCGAACGCTTTAACCACTAGGCTACCCGACCGCCCCACATGATAGGACAAAACATGCAGGACAATCATATCAGTGTACCCTCACCCGTGTCCATTCCCAATTATTTCAATAATAATGATGCATGATGTTACAACTTTCACTTCATATGTCATGAAGGCTCAATTACGCAAATCCCTGCGTCAATGGACCCGTGAAGATCCGGGGTAGAACAGATCTTCAACAACCCATTCTTGGCGTAAAAGGACGACAGCGCTTGTCGTAAGAGGCGACTACCGGGATCGGGTGGTCAGGTTCACTTACCAGGCTGAAGCATGTCATCGTATCCCAATTGCGTGGATCGATGCTAATGATGTCAATCACATGACTGTCTGGTCCAGACTCGATTATTTACAGAACGCTGCCATATAGCTGGAACATTACTGAGTGCGGCGTTAAACAACAAACAAACAAAATAATGTGTCATGAATACCATTTTGTGATGTTGTAATATTCGCTTACGTATTGCTAACTGTTTCATTACCTTCCTTGTATATAGTTGGCTTCACACTGACGTGTTGTCCTTGTTTAATTAGGGTAACCATAGCGTATGATATACATACTATTTTACTTTTCAGACAAACAAAATAAGTTTTGAATCATGACTTTTATCACATTTGCTAGGACTGCCAATTGGCCCGATCCTTTAATAGAATCGTCAGTCGGTAATCATGACTAGACGGTCCCAAGTTCTGTCCCTGCATCAACTACACGGTGCTCTTTAGATTTGCTAAAATAGATCTTATGATTCGTCATAAATCGTAAACATGAGCAGTTACAATGTATCTATTCAAAATATGTAAATATTAATCTATAGAAACTACATCACAAGTTGTCTAGTCACACGTTATGGATCCTTTAGTCATAAACTATCCTTATACTGCAGGCTGCGTAATAAATATTAATGGCTTACTTATACTTGAAATATTCTTTCCCTAATTCTCTTTGATTCCTATTCCAGGAAGACACGGAGCATATCCCGCCACATCTAAGCTGGAACCTACCAGTTACCTCCTTTCGGCTCCAAACCCTGGTGCACAGAAGTCAGGTGAATGTCCGCGATCCTTCCAACAAAGTCCTTGCATCAACGCCTGTAACAACGACAGTAGCTGTGCTGGACTACAGATATGCTGCAGTAATGGTTGTGGCACAACTTGTGTCGACCCAGTAGCATCCGCTCCAGAAGTAGCAGGTGCTTGTCCTGTTTTAGGCAGAGGAGATTCCTGTCCAAGCAGCACTTCATGCAATTCAGATAGTCAGTGCTCTTCCGGGTCTCAGTGCTGCTTTCTATCAAGGACATGTAGGGTATGTGTCAATATTGTAGTGGGAGGGTCACATGCGTCTGGTAAGGAGTTGTTTCCTTCCAATGATCAAAGGTTTAAGGTTGGTAATTCAAAAGGCGCTAATTCCATACACAGTAACCATGTTAATGAAGCCAATGCAGCATATAATATTTTAAGAGCGCCCTTTCCTGGTGGAACATACGTGGGGCAAGCATCCAATCATCAGAACAATGTTGTCCTAAATGCTGGTGTGAGCAGTCAGGGGTCAGTTGGTATCACTGGATCTACAATTGATACAGTTTCTGGTGTTAGCTCAAAGGCACCGCAGGGTCTTAACACTGGACCAGTAGAGCCAACAAATGTTCAGGGGGGAAACATCCCTGTCAGCAATCTGGGGACGGTTGTCCCTCCACAGCAGTCTGGTCCTGGTGTGGGAGACTTAGGTCGTATACAGCCTGGAGATATTATAGTTGACATATTAAACCATGGGGCTAATGGATCTCATGCGGTTATATCAGGTGTGACAAAAGGTGGTATTGTTCACCTGGGTCGACATCGCATTGGGAGAGTTGGTGGTTCTGCAGGAGGGAATGGAACAGCTGCTTCTCAGGATGCTCTTCATCCCCAGAACAATTTGGGAACTTCCACGGAGAATAATCCACAAACGTTGCTTGGAAATGTCATCGGAAATGTCATCGGAAATGGTCCTAACAATCCTGTTAAAACAAATATGGATACAATTGCAGTTGGAAATTTTGCAGAGAGCATATCAGGTGCTCCGTTGGGTGGGAACGTGGGTCATACACCCCCTACACCCACAAGCGTCACAAATCATTTGTCCAGGTCGGTAGCAGATTCCAATGCTTATATCAATGCTGGAGGCACAGGACCTTCTTTTTCCAATTTGGATGCTGCAGCTGGCACTGGTCGTTCTTTAGCAGCCAATAGTGCATCTTCTGCAACATTGAATATTGGTACTGATGTAACCGCTGCGGCAAGTAGTAGTGCTACTGCAAATGTCGCTGGTACAGGTAACACTGGTGGAGCTACTAATGGCACTTCAGGTAGCACCATTTCAGCGCAGGGTGCCTCTAGCCAATCTTCAGTTATAGATAGGGCAACACCAGTTCCCCTTGACACTGTGATTAATGCGCAAGAATCTGGAAATATAAACCTGAACAATGTAAATTCTGGTTCCAGTGGTAATGTTATAGGGGACATTACTTTTGAAGGGACCATTAATGCTAGCAACACTTCAGTCGCCATATCTAACCCCACACTCCCTCCTGCTTTGGATGCTGGCCCGCTGGGGACAAGTTACACTCTGAGCGACCCAAGTGTCAGCTCTGGTGGTACAGGAACTACTGGGTTTGTAGGAGATATTGTTTCTGGGGCAGCAGTAAGTGGTGGCAGTGCTGAGCATAACGTAGGTCTGTCATCAAATATTGGGGGTGTCAGTTCCAAGAGTGTAGGAACTGTTATCGATGCATCCGGGAATAATGGCATTGGTATTCTTAATGGTCAAATTGTCAATCCTGGTGGTAATTCAGGAATGCCTTTGATTGGAAACGCCCTTCCTGGCATCTCAAATGTAGACACAGGGTTATCACCAAATGTCTTTGAGACCCATCCAATAACTTCGGGAACTATTGTTGACCAAGGAATTACTGGTAATGGCAACGCTGTCAGTATTGGCACTGGGGATTTGGGAAATATCGTTAGTGCAACTAGCCAGTCTGCCATTTTACCGAATGGTATCCCTGATCAACAGGGACGTTTGTCTCAATCAGTTCTGGATAGCCCTTTAGCTGTTACTGATGTCTTAGGTAGCAATGGATTTGTAGGAGCAAATGCTATTGGTGGAGTCAACGGTGGTAGTGCAGTAGGTTCTTTAGGTATTGATAACATACATTCTGGTGTTTTAGGAACACCAACTTACCAGCAAGGAGGCTCTAGTAACAGTCTCATCGGTACCCTGACTGGTGGTACTGGTGCTAATGGATTAGCAGGAAACGGAGCTTTGAGCGGAGCAATCAGCGGTACAACTGGTGCCATTTCAGAACCTGGCTTCTCTGGCCCTCCTTCAAATGTTGCACAGCTTGGTGCAATAGGTACTGGTGTTGGTCCAACGGGAAGCCATGGTAATAACCCAAATAATCACATGAGTGTAGTTGGGGTGGGAGCAGTCAGTGATGCTAGAGCAACGGCATCATCTGCAGGTGTCTCTGGGAATGCTAATGCGAGAGTTAGCAGTGGGAAGGCTCGTGCCAATGGGCTGCAGAATATAAATACAGGTACTGTCGGCGGGTCTGGATCTCTTCTCAGCAATGGCATTACACCATCACCATCTGGATCCAGTGGATTGTTCCAAACAGCCCGGCGTGGTTCACTGAGACAAAGTCAACCGAGGTTTCACGTTCAAATAGAAACAACCCATTTTGGGCCCCATTCGGAGAGTGGTGTATCTAATGTTGGTGGGGCCTCTGCCAGATCCAAACACACGTCAACATCTGTTAAAATAGAAAATGGGTCCAAACATTTTTCGACATCTGTGAACATAGGTCGTGGTGTTCATTCGAGACAAGAAGTCAAAATAAACCATCATGTTGCTGACACCAATCGAAATGGAAGAAACATGGGTATGGCTGGGAATCCTAGGCTTCAAACATCTATCAACATTGGGTCCAGCCCGGATGTACGTCCTGAAATTAGAAAAACTGTTAGCATGAATGCACCAAGGTCACAGAATCTCAGACAACGATTACCTGTGAACAGACATACCTCTCATCTGCCACCCTCAAATCTGGCTTCTGGTTCTAGAAACAGTCTCAGGTCTTCTGCTGCAAGGTCTGCAACTATAACAAGGAGTGACCCCTTTGTTCATCCAGGCACATCCTCTCTGTCAAGAAGCACCATTGCTGGGTCGACAGCTTCCAGAGCAATTGCAGCTGGGAATGTCGTTGTAAACGGACCTGCGCCTGGTATCAGAAGAGTTGCAGGAAACTCTGGTATAAGTCGGAATAATGGTTTGCATTTGAATACAGGGGCATCTAGCTCGGTTCCAGGGCGGTTTGGCACAGGTTCTAGAGCTGCTTCTGGAATTCAGGATTTAGGATTAAATGCAGGAGAATATAGTTCTGCTGCTGCTGGTCGATATCCAGTTCATTCTGGTTCTAGGGGTAGTCTAGGCCCCTCGACTGGAAATCATGGCGCTGCACTCGTGGATGTTCAGGGTACTATTCAGAGTAGATCTGGAGTTCGGGGGACTCTGAAGGGTTTGCGGGGTGCATCACAAGTACCACTTAGTGGGCTTCTTTCTGGGTTTGATTTCGGACAATTTCCTTCTGTAACCAATCCACAAGGAAATTCGGCCCTTGGAGTGTCCCAAACTGCACCTGCCACATCCAACGTACCATCTTCTTCTCCGATGCAAAATGGTGGTTCTGAGTTAGCCGGGGCTCTCAAACCATCGGCGTTTCCTCTCCCAACATCTTATGACGTAAGCGCCACCAAACCAGGTATTTGTCTGAAACCATGTGGGTTCTCACTCTGCATCAACGAATGCAACCACGACAGCCAATGCCCTGGTAGTAAGAAGTGTTGTAGTTCTGGCTGTGGTCGAGTTTGTTCTGAACCTTATCCTTACATCCCTACCATCAAACCGGGAGTGTGTCCAGCGTCTCGCAGCTCTGCGGTATGTACACGGAGACACTCCTGTAGTCACGATGGAGAATGCCCAGGTTCCAGCAAGTGCTGCTGCGTCGGTAGCGGATGTCGTGTCTGTGTTCAGCAAGTTATTTCCCTACCCAAAATGGCGACTGTTCCTTTTCTACCTCAACGGACATTGTCGCAGTTCCCAATGATAGGAAAAGGTTATGTTTGGCGGTAGATATGCTTGTGGTCATATCAAACGCAACCTGTTCATATTCATGTCATGATGCTTGGTTTAACGAACATGCTTACATTATAGCGCACGGTCGTTTCACATTTGCAGAAAATTCACCTTGTTGAGCAAGTTTCTTTCCCAAGTTGATGATGGAATTGGTGCTCCTGAAACGTATGGGTTGTAGGAACCAGAATACGAATGTTGTAAAATGGGACTCGAATCCCATAATTACCTTTCTTTACGCTTTAAGTATAATGTTTTACCTCAATTTCGCGTTATTTTCAGTTGTCATCTAAACATTTGAATCCATCCATTGTATCAAGGAGTATAACAATCCAGATTGACGAATTGTCTGCTCACATTTTAATGGCATTGCGTACTTAGTATGACACTCAATATCTTAACTGACGCGCGAAAATAACACAGTGTATTATTGTTTCGAGAATGGTCCCTTGACAGCTTGCAGTTACATGTGGTTCTATTGGTGCTGATGCTGCCTCGGTTCCGTTAGGGATCCTCGAGCTTCAGCTCAAGTTCCTGCCCGGAATATCAAATGGTCGACCCCTTTGATGACAGTATCAGACAGGAACACATTGTTTGGGCGCTTGTTGAGTATGTTCTACTTCCAGATGAGAGTGGGTGTGATGAGGGAGCCTTTTGGTTTACGTCCTCACACCTCATGCCAGTCAATCGTTTGCTTCCCTTGTTACCCTGAGAAGTTGTCTGGTCCAATTGTAATAGCAGGAACAAGATGTGTCTATCATATACATTTCATATACATTTCAGCTGAAGATAGTCTTGGACTTTCTATAAGCCGAAAACTTGATTGTAAGGTGATTGTCTATATTATGGTGCTAGATACAATTATTAGTCATTAATCCACATTAGTATTTTATTTATATGTAGTGCCTACTGTTTTATATGTGTAGCAAATGGATGATGGTTGTTTAAATATAACTGTGTATCATTGGATGGAACTCTTGAATAGTTTTCTTTCAATAGATATTAATTGCAGTTCAAGATTGTATGAGCTTTATATTTTGATGTAATGTGAAGACTATCTGATCCTGTATTACAAAGTGAATGTCTGTATCCTTTCATATGAATAAACCTGCTTTCTTGAAATGTGACTGTGTATGTTGAGTAATCTTAATCCTTTTTCAGGTAGATGGTGTATTAGCTTTGAGTTAAGCATTTGTAAGTCACGTAAAGATATGGACACTTCTCATGGGAGACAATTACGGGAGTGAGTGAGTGAGTGAGTGAGTGAGTGAGTGAGCTTGTATGCCGCTGTTATTCTTTTACACATTCCGCTTTTCAAGTGAACGGTTAGTTTGTGTTTGTGAACCTGGGGACAACTTATGAAGCATATTTTCCTATAATCCCATATGTCAGACCGTATCCGTGTATGCCTCACGGTGTGGTAGACCACGACCCATGTTTTGCTGCCTCAGTAAACTGACGGGCCCCAATAGAAGTATAATACTGTATAAAGTGTGGCCCAAATCAGCTTGTATGGAACTCTATGATGGAGTGGGTGAATACAGACAAAGAATTGTCTTCAATTTGTTTTCGAAATATGAACGTAAAAACAGGTGGACACAAAAAAATAAATACCACTTATTTTAAAGAAAGAGGTCAACAAAAATAACTTCACAGACTGGCTATTTAATTATAAAAAAACCTGTACACAACAATGCGAAATCAGTGACGTAGTTCATCATAACAATCCAACCAAGTCCCGCCCACTCTGTTATCCTCCAGTCAGGAAACAGTAGCCCGCTAGTGGGCGTGGCCTATTGTTTCAAGGTTAATGGAAACACAAAAGAAAAAATGCCAGGAAAATCGCTTGTAATTTATTCATTTATGCGTAACTGAATAATATTCGTTTATAAATAACCGCTTGACATATGAGGTAGTTGATGCAGGAACAAGGCCTTGGGTTGTTAGTTTTGTTTGTTGTTTAACGCCGCACCAAGTAATATTTGGCAGTCAGTAAATAATTAATTATGGACCAGATAAGCCAGTGATTGACATCATGAGCATCGATCTACGCAATTGGGACACGATGACATGCATCAACCAAGTCAGCGAGCCTGACCGCCCGATCCCGTTAGTCGCCTCTTTCGATAAGCATGGGCTGGGCCTCGGAGATTTCTTGACATAATTCTAATATCAAATTTTGGTATTTCACAAATAGTAAATGAGAAGTTCTGTCCATATGTGCATTTGATCAGTAAGAAGACAGACTTGCAGATAGAAATGGTGTGACAAAACATTTACACATAACAGGCGGTAACAATATATCGTTGTTGCTGTGATAAGTGAAACATGAGAGAAAACATTAATGATGCGGCTCTACAGAGATATGTCTTAAACACACATAACACTTATAATTACACCCACGCACAGCATGTAAATAAACCCGCTCCAACAGCCAACTCCGTAACAAGCGAATGGTTTACTTTTACTGGCGCTTCATGAACCAATTCATTACAAAGCCTTCACCTGATGTCATCACTGATTTTCAGTGGTCCATTATATATAATTTTCACATTATTTTCCCTTTACGCTAACTAGAACCAGTTTCGGTGGATATTCAAGATTGTTTATTCTCTTGCATTGACTTTATATATTTACACAACTGACCATGTGTTATTGCTCTGAGCCTTCCTGATTGCATTGGAAATATTGATCAATATTGTTCCAGAGACACATAATATGTAAGATATGCATTACAATGTTGGCAAACTAATGATAACAGTTGCCAGTCGGTGGAAGTCTTATAATGTTAAATTACATTGAAGCGTTCGTAAAGTATATTTGATTTTCAGTTTCGACCTCATATATTTGATAGCGTGAAATTCCGCTCATCATTCTCAATTTACTGTCATATTCTTGTCGCAGATAAATAATTTCTAACCAAATTATCAATTTCAGAGGCATACATTTGAACCATTTATGTTGATTAATCTTGCAATTAATCGATCGTGATTGATCAGTAGCAGCGCACTAGACGACCTCTTTGGAATTCCGAACCAGGACAGGTCTTTTGTTGCCCATGCTTGCCGCACAAGCAGACTTTCAGTCGAAATCTCTCACCTGGCTTATTGCGTGTCAATGACGACAAGCTATCGACCCCATAAAGATCCGGGTTAGAACTGTTCTTCAGCAACCCATGCTTGCGTAAAAGGCGACTATGCTTGTCGTAAGAGGCGACTAAGGGATTGGGTGTTCAGGCTCGCTGACTTGGTTGATGCATGTCATATTTCAAATGCGCGCATCGATGCTAATGATAGCAATCACTAGATTATCTGGTCCCGAATAAATTATTTACGGACGGCCTTCATGAAGCTGGAATATTGCGGCCTGAAGCAACAAACAAACACACATGCTGTCAGGAGATAACAACATTCATCGGAAGGTATTATGTTGTACACATTGATAATATTCACATAATGATAAAAAACATAATGCGTAATAAACGAACAATTACTTTCAATAAGAAATCTGTAAATTGACACTTGTATACCTCTGTTTCAAAGTATAAACTATAGCATGCTCTGTGCAGTTCCGGTGAGGTAATACGTTGATTTTCATCACCCGAGGTTAAAAGTCACACAATCTCAAAAGCCACGAAGTCCATAAACATTAATGTAATTTTAGAAGGAAATAAATCCTGATGATCATTGTTGTTTGGCCCTTGAGTACATATCGGTAGGGCTTAACATTAGCTAGCCATACGTCATAAGATCCCATCTCTTGTTCCCCTCCTTGTCCCTGACCATCCTGTGATACAGATCCAACTGAGTGTACACACTCCCCAGGGCTTTAGTCCCAGCTTCCTTCTTCGCGGAAAGATGCCATTTACCCTGAAGATAGATCGGCGTTGGTTGGTTCTTCAGTTTAGGAGCCGCGACCAAGGATCGGGAGGTAACCTTCAGATACGGAAACAGGTCATCTTGGGCCTGGGTAAAGTCATACCTGTTCTCCAACTTCTAGCAATCTGGACACAAACCCGGACCAAACAGGTCACAGTGAATCGATCGTGTTTTCTCCAGTAGATCCAAAGGTGCGTGTTTCCGTTGACAAACGAAACTCAGAAATCCGGGCATTTTCGTGCGTCGAAAGTCAGCAATGGAGATCCGTTTTATTTGTCCTAAGTTGAATCGGTCCGGCACTCTCCTGGAAGTAGATTTCGATCGTACTGGTTGTCTTTGACATGGCTTCGGGGTTGGGGGAGTGTCTATTCTCTTCTCCTGGGCCTTGAGTCGTCGGTTTTTGAAAGGAAGTTTCTCATTGGGTCGTTGGAATTCTCCCATTTCAATCATCTTCCGGAGGAGTAGGAAGTCTCTCTCCGATCGTGTTCCGCTCTTGGATGTCCAAGTTCGGGCATTGCCGAGAGATCGTGTTGGTGATATGGCGTCAGGGAAGTTATCGAGGGAGGAATATCTTACTGGACGCTTATTCGTGTGTGGCGGTACCTCCTCGGGGAAAAGTGGCGGAACAACTTTACCACTCTTCAGCTTGAGCTGTTTCTGGAACGACAGACAAAAAGTTTAAAAAACATTTTTCCTCCTACGATATGCGTGACTGAGTTGGGACTTAAGCCCCATTTATTCCAAGAATATCACGACGGGGACAGCGGAAACGGCAATCACATCGAACGCGATGTGGGCATTGAACGCGAGCCTTCAGCTTGACAAGCGACTGTTTCAACCACTAGGCTACCCGACCTCACCTTCTCTTACAAAGATAAAGCATAATCTACTAAATATTGTAAATATACATGGAACAGAGAAAAGGTTAATACTCAAAATGTACCCTTTTGGCATTTTTCAGAACTTTGCAGTTTAAAGGTTTATACTGAACGGCATGATGCCCATTATAAGTTGAACCATCGATGAATCTTTGACATTGTCTCTGTGAATCATTGTCAGATTTAAAAATAAATAAATACATGATCAATAATGCAGATGATGAATGAGTTCATTCACTCTTGCTTCGACGGCCAGTTGTCTGAGTAGTACCCCCATTAAATGTTCCACCAATGTCAAAACACTTTTATTGTGATCATTTCTAGTACTATGCATAGCGGATTGTAATAGTCAGATTGGTAGATGTAATCAAATTCAATATAGCTTTTAAATCCATACTTTGACTGAAGTATTAATTCACAGAATGTTACATGCTGCTTGAATGGTAACAGCTGGCGTCATTTGTTGGTAAGGTTTAGAGAGGATTATAATCGACCGAGGAAGGTCGAGGTGCCACATCAGACACTGTCTCTATTTGTTAGTGAGTAATGATTTACGCAGCTTTTACCAATATTCTAGCCACCTGGAAACTGTTTAAAACAGTGTACCAAGGCGGAGAATCGACCCCGGCCTTCGGTGTCACAAGCGAACGCTTTAACCAAAAGCCTGCTCCACCGCCCTTGTTATATATGGAATAAAATTAATAGCAAAAGAAATATTAATAAAACGTGTACCTAGCTTCAGACATATATTAAAGTCAAAATGGTTATAATTTGGATAAATATACATCCTGTTTACCTTCCAAACATATACGATATAACCGGGTCAGTTCGATATACCTAGACCTTTAAGACAATGTATTGAATGGACCCAACAATGTCCTTGTTGGCAATATGTTTACATCTGGACCATGGTTTTCTTTGCGGATAATTCGCTGTAGTTTTTGTTCAATTTAACGAGGTTTCGTTCCATCACGTCGTCGGAGATCTATAGATATGATAGATATAAATCCCTCATAACAGATTATACGTTGTGCAGTGTCCCAACTTCAACATGCGACATTTTGTATGGTATGTAGCAATCGTGTAGCAGATAAAGTGATATTATATATTTATAATCGGGGATAAGGTACGTCAATAAGATCACGAACGAGAACAAATATTAAAGGATGGGAATACAAGAGTTGGACAGAGTTTAGTAACACTCAACGACATCCACGCGCACCATATCGCACACCCATGTATAAAATCTGACTGGCAAAAGATAGTAACACATAATCTTGAAAATTGAATTTGACCAAAACATGTTATTTAAACGTTCCGCAGCTGAAACAGTCGCCGAAACACTACAACCATTAAGACTTAGTCCAAAACCCAGCTATGACACTCGTATCAAATTCGCCGCCGTCGAATTGCAATTTCTTGTTTGTTTCATGTTCAGCCACCATTAATAGGGTTTACCTTCTTTTGCGCTGCAGTTTATGTCTTAAATGCTTCACCTACCTTTGTGCTTGGAGCATGGGAGGAGATCGATGTGATAAATATTGTCTCCACAGGAATAGAAATCCCCTCCCGAGGAGTCACAAGAGTACTTAAGCACAAAATGTACGTGTGAAGGTAGTTTTTTATATATAGAAAACAAACGTACTGTTTTCAATGTAGAGCTAGGTTATCTGTAGATTTACCTGCACTTAACTGAATTTGTAACCGAACGTTTATCTCCATTCTACCATGACTATATACAACACAGACACTTTGGTATTAGCAAATATATTGAGTGAAGCGTCATGGGTTGAGTCGAGTGTTTTGAGTGGGTTGTCGTTCTGAAATACGGAATAACCGACAACTGCCTGTAAAACAAAATATGGCACTGCATATACCCAAGCAGTTTGTTTACAGCGTAATACGCCAAATTCCAAGCTCTCTGTTGTCTCCAAAACTTAAAATACATTCTCTTTGTAGATTTCTATCGTGTTTTCTGCACGAAATATATTGCCGGACATTCTTTGAATATTGTAGTGACCGCAACTTTTGTTACCTGTAATTGTAGATTTAATTATTTAAACATGCCATACCACAATGACTAAAAAAAGTACTGTTCTATAAATATTAGCTTCCGCTGTGATGCAGCCGTCAAATCAGCTATTTCAGTAAGAGGGGGTTTATTGTCATTTAATAGCCTCTGATTGACAAATCGGAATCTAGTAATTTCCAAATTCATGGTAGAAAAACGCTAAGCCCCAGACAGAAGCACCATCTTTCAAAGTCTCTTGGTATGACGCGGCTGGGGATCGAACCCGGGATCTTCCGCTCTACCACAAGACCACTGAGGCCGTCTGTGATAAAGACTAAATCCGGCGATAATCAACCAAGATCATGATTTATTTATGACATTGCTTGTGATACTAACATGCCTGTTAGATCCATATTGTGATATTTCAAACTAGTGCGTTCTATGAACACAATGTTATCGGAGGAAGAGGAATAGAGTGCGGAAGTTAATCATATACATGTATGAACATATACATTGCATTCGAACATTCGATCTCTACCCAACGGAAGCAAACTCGGACAAATGAATTTGACATAGGCAATTCATATGTGCTGCTTGAAATACTCACGCAATTTTTAAATATTCAGTGCAATTATCCAAACTGTTATATTATTCAAGGCTTCAGGTTTACCGTGTCGCGCTTACCATTGCCTTTCATACCCGTTTGGCAGAGAAGGATGCATTTGTGAGTGAGTTGATGGAGAAGTTGGACTGCTGCTGCCCAACAACAAGTCATAGTTACTGAGAAACAGTCTGAACTGGACGAGCTCCATTGTCTGGTTGAAACTATGCATCAACCATGATATCTATCAACCAATTAGCGAGCACCCGATCACCCGATCACCCGATCCCGTTAGTCGCCTCTAACGAAAAGCAAAGTCGCTTTTTAGACAAGCAAGGGTTGCTGAAGACCTATTCTACCCCGGATCTTCATGGGTCCCGTGTGTTTCAAATTTGTTTTACTGCCGTGCTATCATGTCCATGTATGCAAAACAAGTGGAACAAGACAATGCAGACTTTCTGATAAGTGTTGCTGAATTTACAATATCCAATGCAATATTGCCATTGAACACATTGTGACATTTACAGGAAAAGCATGACTCTACACAAAGGGAAAATGCACAATAGATTGACTGATCGTATGAATAGTACCATTCGTCACAGTGCTTAGCCTATCATGCCCGGAAAATGTGGGCTATCTATTTCCATGTCAGTGTGAACGTGACTTCAGGAAGAATATTGTTTTCATATTGTGCTATATCGCCACCTGGTATTAATTTAGAAGACTATATTTCGTAAATAACAAGTTACATATCTGGTCACAAATCATTAACAAGATTGACGCAACTCGTGAATTATGTAGTTAGTTTTCCCCATCAGCATGGATACAGTTAAGACCACGAACACCCGGTGTTTAATCTTTGACATGGTCAGTTAGACCCCGAGACGCGGGGTCCGAGTGGCCATACCTTCTAAACCATGGCTAAGATCCCAAGCATTTAAACAATGTCTATTTAACATTATTTTCATGATTTTCTAAACGTCTATGTTTGTTAAATGTACAGATTTTAAAATGTACAAAACGCAAACACTCCGATTTTTACTATCCTATATTACTAAAATATCAGTGACAAAATTCATGTCTGTTACAATTCCTTATATTTACACAAACACCTAGTATCATCACCACTTGATAGAGATTCATACACACTAATGATATAGTCGGAATCATACAATGCAGATTTGTTATTATTATTATTATTATTATTATTATTATTATTATTATTATTATGACTATTATATATAATGAAAATGTTTATTAATTATTTCCATGTCTTTGATAGCCTTTCGATGCAGACACCTGCCAGCGACACATATCTGATGTCAAATTTGTTCTGATATCAAATTAGATGGCAGAGGTTAATAAACATTTCATGACCAAGACATATCTGTTCCATGTGAAAGTAATGTAACATTTGCGTTAACAGATTTATCTAAGAACTGTCTAACGTCATAACATGTAGTTGAATCAATAACCAAAAAATATCGGATGATGTACAAAGATAATTATTGGAATATGAATATTTTATTTCGGAAGGAATGTAAAAACGCATAACCACATATGTACAAAGCTTAGAGTAATAATAATTCATAAAAAAGCAAATAAACTAAATATATTTATCAAACATGCTGATTGATCAGTTGGTAAATGAAATATTGTGAAATGTTATGGAATAAGGATTTACTGGTATGTGTATGATATGGAACAAATATGGAACACAATTTCAAACTTTAGAGAAATAATTACCAGAATAAAGTTTATATGTATACGTTCGCCTTTGTACAAACACCGGTTAGTCTCACACTGAATATACAGACCACTATTTTATTTCAAAGAAATGTGAAAAAGCATAACCAGATATGTTCAAAGCTTAGCATAATATTTATTAATAAACAAAGCAGGTAAACTAAATATAATTATCAAGCAAGCTGATTGATCAGGTGATAAACGAAACTTTGAAAAATACGGTGGAATGAGGATTTACCACAAAGCCATTGAAAACACAATAGCTTTTGATGAGCGTACTTGTGAAAAGAGCAATTGCCCAAAACCTTTTCGAACATCATGATGGTTCTGTGAGAGATATGTGTCCCCTTGTGACAATTCGGGTTCGAACCAACTTGGAGCAATGAATCAGAAAGAGATAAACGCAACTGTGCACACTGTACCGTAACACAATCACTGTTGCTGGACACATGCTGCATGTGGAAAGCTAGATCCCAGGTTCTTTAAAAGCACACACGATATGGTCATCGGTCACTTGTTCAATATGCCAAGACTCGATCAAGCCAGCAGGAACCAAGCGATCGGAATGCTGCAAGAAGGGGCAACTCAAGTGATCGTCGCCAGACGTGTTAACGTCCATCCATGCACGATAACTCGACTGTGGCATCGTTTCAACATTTTGTACCTTTTGGTACTTTTGGAACCCGTCAACGCTGCTGTGTTTTGGAAAGGTGTCGTTTTTGAGGAGGCGGTACAATGGTATGGGATGTACCATCAATTTTCGTTCCCACAGTCGGTGGTTATCAGAGGCAACCTCAATGTTCGAGATTATGTGAATAATACCCTTCGCCCAGCACTATTGACATTACTGGCTTAACATGGCGACCTACACCAGCGTGTCTTCCAGCATGACAATGCACGTCCATAGGGTTCATGGGAGACTTTCTGAACAGGAACAACATCCTGCCATTTTACCTGACATGAATCCAATTGAACACTTATGGGACGAGCTTTGACACCAACCGCCTCAGACAGTAGCAGAGTTGACACAGTCCCTACAACATCAGGGGCGATCGGGTAGCCTGGTGGTTAAAGCGTTCGTTCGTCACGCCGAAGACCCGGTTTCTATTCCCGACATGGGTACAATGTGTGAAGCCCTTTTCTGGTGTCCCCCGTCATGATATTGCTGGAATATTGCTATAGCGGCGTAAAACCATACTCACTCACCCCTACAACATCACTGGCGAACATTCAACAACGTTTCCTGAGTTGTCAGTCCATGCCTCGGCGACTTCAGGCATACGTCAGTGGACATTGTGGTCATACCTGTTATTGATCCCCAGTGGCCTCGGCTACATTCTGAGCCTCTGTGACGTCATCGACGGAGGTGTTTTTTACGGATTGTATTGCTAACATTTCATGTGATGGGTGTGTTTGTCATTTTGGTTGGTTCATTTGGCTTTCTTTCACTGTAATAAAATACGCACCTTCTGAACACTGAAGTGCGGTTTCAATGGCTTTGAGTATATATCGAACATGATATAGAGACAACATCAACTTTACATGTTATACTTGATAAGTGCAAATACGCACTGACTGATCTTATACCTGCGAATAATGGTACTATATGCTGCAACAATCTGAAACACTAGCTTGTGTGTTAGTCTCTAGTCGTTAATGTATGGATCATCTCCACTGACCGAGTTGACGTAGGAAGGTCCTTCACTTCTGTTTATGTGACCGTAGCTATGCTCGTCACCGTCTTCACTTGCATTACGTTGTATTACATTGTAGATATTTCTTTCAACATCATGGCTGAGGCCAGAATATGTGTTGGTGGTGCCACTGGTGGGAATAAGGTCATCTTCTCGATGGGACCCATTAGGGATGCTCTGCACACCATAATGAACTGACGTTTCAGGTTTAGATGAATTACCGTGCGAGTTCCTGGATAGCCTGTTTACCATGCTGCAGCAATAGACGTTTTGCATACGATCATTGTATAATATTAACAAGGTTGTATTTTGACTTCATAACCAAGTGCCATAATATCACACGTATAAATCAAACAGTTTGATGTACTTACATATATATGATGAGCGCCACGATGATGAGACCCATGATACCACACACCACTGCTAAGGGTAAAACAATACTTCCATTGTCTGAAACGAGACACATGAAGCCTTTAACGTGAAGATTTCTGCTTTTGTCTGTGCCTTCATTGCACAACTTGGGCTTACAAACACACGAGCGCGCGCGTGTTTACACACACACGTGCATGCACAATCTTAAACGAAATTATTTCAATATTTCGTATAACAATGTCATTGGTTGTCGTTATTACATGTACATATAGATACCTGTGTGTGTTGATGACAGGGCTGTAGAGGTAAGGGATGTCATTGTGTCGGTTGATCCCGGAGCAGTAGTATAGGTAGTTCTTTCAGACAGTGTAGTGATGGCGTTGGATATCCGTAGCGTTGTGGCTATTGACGTAGTTAGTGAATCTGTATGGGAAATGAAACACAATGAGTGATTTCCTCTGTGGTTAGTATGCATGGCCGTCGTGGGGATTCCGGGTAAGAATACATGAGGTTCCCAGAAACCGTCGCTGGTCTTAAGAGGCGTCCAAATGGATCGGGATGGTCAGGCCCGGTGACTTGGTTGATTGTGTATCTACGTACCCTGATGGCGTGGATCGTGGCTCACAAATAACAATCACTGGATTGTCTGGTCCAGTTTCGATTATTTACAAACCGCCATCGTATAGCTGCAATAATAGTACGGCAAACAAACACACTGAGACCAAGTCAAACTATTTTCAGTCAGGCTCTCTGATTACACCTCCTGGAGTTGTGCTGTACTGATGTTTTAGCATATTGTACAGGGCAGTCTATGTCAGCTATTGCGTGTTCTAGTAATTAGATACAGACTCAGGAAAACTCAAGGTAATAACACTGTTGCCATGGACAACACTAGTCTTCTCAAATGCGTGTCATCACAAATGTTCATACTCATACCCACACAAATATAGTGATAATCCAACTGATCACCGTTGACCAGGGTCATGAATCATCGTCATCAGATGACACTCACCTATAGATGTCAAAGGTGTACTTGTTGTTGCTGCAGTGGTCAGTGTGTCCAAAGTACATGGACTGGTTGTACCTTGTGAACGTGATGGCGCCTGTGGCGTGGGTGATGGGGTGGTTGATGATTCCAATGTTTGTCGCCTAGAAGTTATGTTCATTTGACCTGAAGCTGTGAACAATCATTTCTGTAGCAGTCTCTAGGTTCGAGTTCCATGTTGATCTTAAATAAGTGATGCAACTTCTGGACACGGGGAAACTAGCTGACCATAGAGTCGTAGGTCATGTCTTTTATTTACTGAGGAATTTACCATACAAATAACTGTGAATACAGTATGATATATATTGAAACCTACTGCATACCAGTCAAGTCATCATATTTTCTTAGTACATTACGGAAGATTGTTAAAAGATGGTTTCTTTTCATCATGGCTACACTGTATTTTCCTTTGATCGAACCAGCAGTTCTGGAGGGGCTGTCACAATTGTATTTTTCAATATAATAAATTAAACAAATCAGAAACCATGTATATTTTATTGTCAGGATAGATTGGTTCATGAAAGGAATTTTATCATTAAATTGATCGCACTAGACTAGATTGAAATAATTACTCGTTTTCTCGGAAAGCGAGGCAAACTTCTAATCAAGACCGGCAGATTCTATTTGTTAATTTATTGATAAATTGATGGTTATCAAAGAAGGAGAAGCGTCAAAAGATAAATTGGCGGTATACTCTCATACATACCAGAAACACGTATCCATACATCTGACCAAGTCTGATCCTGGTTATCGTAGACTATTACTATTTCGGCAGCTTGTCCCGGCAACACCCTGTTGTACTCGTCTACTATCACGCTTGTCCAGATCTGTCTCCCGTCACCTGAGATGTTAAGTGTCCCTGGCTTTGTCCGCTCTTCTATCAATATTACTCGTATATCCTGCCCTGTGATCCTTACATAACAGCTGCCGTTAACACCGACACTGCCAGGGAATCCCAGGGAATGTAGGTACACCGACCCGTTTACTGTTGTGCTGTCATTGCCTGAACTACACATATCCACACTTCCTGAAACACAATGCATATAACAAGTAGAACAACAGGTCATATAAAGCAAATTGCTCCCATGTATTCTTGATTTCGTTTTGGCGCCCGATTGATCAAGGCTGAAGCTGAAACACTCATGAATCACTGGAAATGGTATAGCATTATTACCAAGGTCACACTCAGGTCATGATGCAGGGGACAGTTGGCATGTAGTTCTAGTCAGTTTGCATGAGCGTCTAGTCAGGAAGTTTAATCAGTTTGCAGTATCCTTTAGGTTGTAATTACAAAACATATACTATAATTGATGGCAATGGTGATGAAAGATGTGATGAAAGCAGTCCAGTATTCGTACGCGCTTGTTGTTTTGTTATGTCATAAATCACAAACAGAAGTCGGTGCAATAAAGCTCTTACTAGGTAACGAAATATGGTACTCATACACGTATAAACTTGACATTTCAAGATGTATTAATGAATATTCTAACGAACAATATTTCGTTCGCAAGACTAAACGCAGTTTTGAGGATGTCTATAAACCGGCACTACTACCGGTACTACTACTGCTACTACTACAACAACAACTACTACTACTACTACTACTACCACTACTACTACTACTACTATTTCTACTACTACTACTAATACTACTAGTAGTAGTAGTAGCAGCAGTAATAATGATAGGGAAGAGAATTTATGTATGTCAACTTCTTTATCATAAGGAACACAACTTTTACGGAGTATATGCTTACTCCTACATCAGGTGAATAATAATAATAATAATAATGTCAGGCCTATACTTACTTGGGGATGCAGAACAGGGACAACTCCAGAATGCCCATATCAAGGAAAGCCTTCGGGCAGAGTACAAATGTAGACTTAAGAAAATCTGGAGTTCAGAGCTGAACGCTCGCAACAAAGTCAAAGCCACAAATACTTCTGCTGTGCCCGTCCTTTCATATTCTTTTGGTGTTTCGTGATTGGACAAAACAAGAAATTCAGGGTATTGACACCCTCACACGAAGAATCATGTCAGACAATAGATCCCACCACTCTCGCTCTTCCCTCAATCCCTTATATTTACCAATCATTATGGGAGGGCGTGGTTTGATTAACTTTGGGGCTCTTTATGATAGAATTGTTTTGTGCACTTTTGCACACATTAATTTGTCTGATGATCCTTTTGTGAAGCATGTCAATACCCATGATGACAAAAAGGCATTCCACAGTTTTATAAGACGAGCCAAGGATGTGGGACATAATCTCAATGTCGGTGTTGATTTTGTTGATGGTTCTGTACTGCTGGACGGTACAGAAATGAGTGTCAACCAAGCGAAGTGCCATATCAAGTCGGCCCAGACTCATGTTTTAAAAGAGAGGCTATCTGAACGGCTGCTGCATCGAGTTTAGGTGCAGTGTGTTTAGGAGATCAGCAATCCCGTAGAGGCTTTTGCAGTTGTCTGGCCTAAAAAGTGAAACAGATGGATTTCTGTTTGCTGTTCAGGACCAGTAACTTCCCACTCGAAAGCGTCAATGTGTGATTTTGCATCCATTTACAGCCTCAGACGTATCCAGGCCAACAAACCTGATCTTGTCCCCTTTGATAAATCCAATGAAATCATTTATATCATTGAATTTTCTGTCCCCTTTAACACTAGTGTGATTGTCAAGATTGAGGAAAAACATGGCAAATATGCGGACCTCGCTTTCGAAATGTCCAATAGGTTTCAAGTTGTCCGACTCCCCATTGTTCTCGGTGCCTTAGGTTTGGTACCTCCCAATCTGTTTACTGTCATTGGGAGAGTACCCGGGTTTGCTACCAGGAATGCAGCCCGTATGACAATCTGGGTAATGCAGAAGGCTGCAGTGTTGGGGAGTCTTCACATTCTCCGAAAAGTTCTAGGTAGGCTTGACTTGGCAGCGCTTCCTGGGAGAAGTCCCATTCGCTGTGTTGGCTGCGTGTAGAGGGGGCAAGGGCCCTGAGCTGATGAAGAGCCTAACCAGCCTGACTGTGCCAGGATCACCCAAACCCTCTTTGCTGCATTTTTTATTTTAATCTGTAAATAATAATCATCTGTGTAATTATCTGTAAGATGATGCCTGTTACCATATTTGTATCTCATACGTACATGTAACTATGGAAGAAACTAGAGTTGTGATGATGCGAAATAATCGACACAATAGATGCATAAAGCCACAATTACATATGTGGCTGATCACGATAATGTCGATATTGTCCCATGTGACTTAATTTTCATACCCCAGAAGCCTTACACGATGGATGTTGTAAATGTAATTACATTTTTGCCTCAATCAGTTGTGAAATCGTGGTGGTGGCCTCAAGGAACTACACGCTCACCTCGAGATGTGAAGATACGGACGACGTTTCCGATCCGATACAATCGAGATATGCATAACCAGTAACAGTTATCGCATGGTACATGATACGTTGAACCGCGAATCCTTGATAACACGTGTTAATTCTCTACAGAAAATATACACTTGTTTGTTCCGTTTCCTGACTTGCAATACATGTGCGTGTACTGTATGTCAGTTACATGTTGTCATGTTCCGATCTCCACGCAGACACTCCATCCACAAGACCATGGAGGTAGTCCATCATAAGGCTCATAAGTAAGTCTGCAATGACATCAATAGGCTAACATACCATTGTGCAATGACATCAACAAGCTACAGACGGTATACACTCGTCTTATTTGTTGCGTTTGAACTTTATTGTTCAAAACATATTTGTGTGTTGTCCGTCAGTTACATATTGTCATGTTGAGATCGAACCACCAATCTTCCGCTCACCATGCAGACGCTCTATCCCTAGACCATGGAGGCAGTACGTCATAAAGTTCATGAGTCAGTCTTGCAATAACACTAGTCTTAATCTATTCCTGCAGTGTCTCATATCAAACTTCAGAATCTATCAGCTGTTTGTTGTTTAACGCCGCACTCAGTAATACACACAACGGCGATGCGCAAATACTCTAGTCTGGACCATACAATCCTGTGACTGACATCGTGAGCATCGATCTACGCAACTGGGATACGATGGCCTACATCAGCCATGTCCGCGAGTCTCAACTCTCTTTCTAGAAGCATTGATTGCTGAAGACCAATTATAACCCGTATCGTCATGAGAGCTCTCAATTGTAATATACACGTGGGTGAACTGGATTTATCGCCGCCTTAAATAATATTTCAGTTATATCACAGGATATCAGCCTGATGTGATGGGAAAGCTCGACGTAATACAGGTCTTGGGATTTTACCACTTTGGTGTACCCACGAGCGCTGGTTATTGTACACAGGAAACTAAAAACAATCATAGAAGATCATAGGTTCACAGGTTTCTGACACTCAAATTGCAACAGAATCACCCATGACCTCTTATTATAATATATATTTTAAAACTTCAGGCTAGAAGCTGAAAAACTCAAATGCACAACATTACCCTAATCTCTCTCCATCTGTTTTCACATGGATAGAGACAGGTAGTATATTTTCCATTTGTATCAACACGTACAAATTGAACGCATAATGATCTGCAAACAATAAGAAGGATTGCTAAGAACGAGGTGAGATGCTGTGCACGTCCAGATCGAATGCCCATGAAGGGCAGACACATAATGTGACATATCAACGATTGATAGAAAACAAAATATACCTTTTTTCATGAACGTATCATTTTGTTTTCTTCTAAAATTCACATATGCATCTATGACTACTAGGTTTAATATCTACAATCATACATGGGATTTTTATTGAATCAGTAAGTCATTATCAAAAGCAAACCATGTTGATTGTGTCAGTTTGGCCAGATACTAAATTTACGTCTCACCTTTGACACAGGTGTACTTTACTTCAGCTGCAGCATCTGTAAAGTTACAGTTTGTTTTGGGTGTTGCGGTCAAGATTTCATGGCATGACTGTTTCCCATTACAGTTGACGATCAGTCCATTTTGGTTACTGGTGTGAAGCCTAGCACAGGACTCTGCTGATTTCAGACGACATGTCGCGGCGTCTCCATCCCCATACGCCTCTTGCTCGACATGTATCCGTTCACCGGCAGAACAGTTTAGCTGTACTGTAAAGCTTCTCGACAACTCCTCTATACATCT